GAAGCCACCGTGTCCACAGGGATGATGGTGGCAAAGCCCCTTCCTGAGGCAGGCGCTTGGCGAGGGCAGCCAGTGCCAGAGCCTTTCCAAGGATCCCCTGGCTCCGGGGACCAGCGCTCTGGCTGGCTCGGGATCCAAATGCAGCATCGGTCTCCTCCCCATGCTTGAGCCAAAGGGATCCCAGGAAGGTCCTGGGCCTTTGCAAGATCTCCAGCGACGGCCCCACGGAGTGAAGAGACAAAAAGGGACGAGTTGGGGCTGTCACTTGGTCACTTCCTCCCTCTCTTGAGGGATCAGTGGGATGCAGTAGATTTTGGACAATTTTGCTATTGAATCCTGACTCTCTGCCCTTGGGCAGCAGAAAGTTGAGTTTTGAAGCTCAGGACGAGCTGCAGCCCAAAATCCATGCAGGCACTGGGGGCTGCGTGCTTTGAAGAAGGACTCAGGTTGAAAAATGCAATTACAGAAACATCCCTTGGCCCCAGGAGTCTGAAACCACAGAATTTGGAGGAAACCACAGCTCCGGGCTCGCTCCCGTCGCCGCAGCCCACGGTCAGCCCCGTTTCCCTGCCCCAGTGAGGAGGAGCCGCCTATTTGAGCAGTTCGTTGTAATCATCAAATAACGGCTTCATCGACAGCATGTCGAACTGCGCAGACCAACTGAGCCCTCTCTTGCCAATTGCTAATTAGCTTAACATTGCTAATCCCTCATTAGCGACTATGAAGTAAGCTCCAAAATGTGAGGTCAGCCCTAAGCAGCGGTTAAAATGTAAAGCTCGCTGGCCTGTGGTGGGGGCAGCAAGGACAGGGCAACCCAGGGCCGGTCCAACCGCAGGTATCTCTAGGCCTCAGATTTCCCCCAAATTCTCGTCCTCGAAATGCTGCCCCATTCTGCCCCTAAGGATCACCCCAATGACGAGCAGTCGGTTTGCAGGACGCTGCAAAGCCCAGACTCTGCCCGGCAGCTTTTCTGGATGCAGGACGCGGAGGAACCGGGAGAGCAGAACCAGTGTCGCAGGCTGGGCCCAGATCCACTGGCGTCACTGCAGCCTGTTGGTCCCAAGGGCAGAAATAATCCCTGGAGGCTTTTCCCAAGGCCCAGCACTAAGGCAAAGGATACCCAGATATCCTGATACTCAGGATACCCCTTGCCGCCTGTTTTCCGCCTTGCCGGATGGTCTCTGTGTTTCAGGCACAGCCGTGTCCCAACTCTGGTGAGAAGAAAAAGGAAAAATCCAAGAAACGAACATAGAGGCTTGAATTTATGTAAAAAAAAAAAAATTTATTTTGGAGGAGGATTTGAACATCGACATGCAGGTACAACATGAATAAAAATTATTGCACCGCTATTATGTGGCAATTGTTCAAGTTTCTAAAAACACGTAAGTTCCACACTTTTCTCTTTTCTAGCTAATGCCGAGGGACGCAGCTCGGCAGCGCCCGGCCGCAGAGGGGCTCGCGAGCCACCTGGATATGGAAACTGAACACAACGTAAACACACACCGCTGTCAAATCTTCTACTAGAAGTACAGGTTTACCCTTCACAGCCAGTAAGAGAAAACCAGAGAAAGACTTTATCCTCCCCTCTTCGGAAGAAAAACAACAAAAAAATACTCCAAATCACACTTTTTTGCAAGTGTGGAAACCAAACCCACTGCTCACTCCTACCCATTCCCCCAGCAAGCGCTCTTTAGTATATTAGCAGCCAAAGGCCTCTGACATTCAGACCCAGGAGTGGCCATTACAATGCTAAAGTCTAATATTTACAATAAATATCATCCATTTCTCTTAGTTTGCAACAGTAAGAGACAGAGGGGAAAGGGGGCCGGGGAAGCAACACGGAGCCGAGATGGGCATGTGCGTCTGTCCCTCACCAAGCACGCGGCCCCCGCGCGCCTGCCCGCTGCCTGCCCTGCCTCGCTTATCCAGGGAGCGCAGATCCTGCCGGCGGCTCCGCGCGGGAGCCCTGGCCCTCGCCGGGCGCCGGCACCGCTCACTCCTCACACACGGTGCCATCTGACACCTCCTCACTGCGAGGTGAGCAGAGGAGCTGTTTAAGCAAAACTCAGCAGAACAAGTAATAAAAACTGGTGGACGCGCCTGCCTTAGTACCTCGTTTCCACCTCTAAATGAGAAGTGCTGCTATGACGCACGGTGACATGTGGAAGGAGAGGAGCTGGGAGGACATCCAGGGCTGCGGGGGGCAGGGGCACGAGGCTCCGCTAGGAACAGGCGCTTTCCCTGCTCTGCTGTGTGGCTTTGGCTTCCAAGGAAACAGGGTTTTAAAAATTGCACTGGTCACTGTCTGTACCGTAGCTACAAAGGAGGTGACTAAACATACATCTCACCTCTTCTTTGGCCAATTCAGGCAAAAGCAGCAACAGCTGTGACATACCAAGGGTTTTCACTCATTAAAGAAGAAAAAAAAAAAAAAAGGAAAGAAAAAAAGAAGAAAAACGAGGCTAACACTGAAATTCACCACTGGAACTATCGGCTGCAAAGAGGGAGTCAGCAGCTACCACCGCTGGTCCCTCTAGACGGTCACATCCCAATCTGCTCGTCCCATGACAGGCACTGTGACCCCAGCGGGCCTGGCACAGACTTAACCCCCTTTCCCGGGCTAGAGCTGCCAGAGCCCTTCGGCACCGTGCTGAAAAGGCGCTCGGAAGCGCTGGCGTACACTGCGTGCCTTGGAAAACGGGGCTTCGGTCCTCCCTTCCCTCTGTCACGGTGCCCCAGACGAGGACTCAAAGCCCCCGCGGGTCAGCGCAGAGAGCACCTCCGTTCCCCGCCGCCCCCTCGGCCCTGCCCCAGCCAGCACCCAGCAACAACCTGCTCTGTGTTCAGGCTCGCCCAGCTAAGGGGCAAGCTCTGAACAACCCCGGCTACAGGGCCCTCTCTCAGGAGCCATCGTTCGCTTCCCTGTCACCTTTTTAAACCCAAATCCCCCTCACGGGGGCTCAGAGGGCACCATGAAGCCCCGCGAGCAGCAGGGCTGAATCGCGTCCTCGCGCAACCCCGGCCTGCTACGTGTTTTATACGGACTTCGTGGGTTACGTCTCGCCACAGACAGCCGCTCTCTAGGGATAAACTCGAGACTCCTCTTCAAAATTAACCACAGCTTCATGATGCCGAATACATTTTTCATTACACTCACAAAATTTATTTTACGCCAATTCGACCTCATTTCTCAGCAACTTTTTAGATCAACCCATCAGGGAGAAAAACAGCCAGATCAAGTATCAGATCCTGCCAGATCTGTTCCTTACTTGCTATTGCTCCAGAATCAGCACAGAATTATACTCATCAGCAAGAGTCCTTTCAAAGGCTGGAAATGCCCAGAACCCTGAGAGGATGGTGGAAATATTGTGGCTTATAATTGCAAACTGAGTGTATACAAATAGCCTACGAATTCCAGCAGAAAGAGCAAAGAGACAGTCCAGCAGGCCCTGCTCTCAATACTGTCACAGCAAGATTTATTTACATGTTATCTGGGAGCTTTGAGGCTTTTGCTAGTGTATTAAAAACACCAAACATGTTCACACAGACACAGAGTAAACACTACTTTAAACATGTTAAAGAAAAGCTCAAACCAAATCAAAACTTGGTCCAGAAATGAAATCCAAGCAGCCAAAAATCAAATATGGATTAGAAAAAAACAAAAAAAAAGGTTATACAGAAAGGGACAGGGCAAGATTACAGATATTTTTTGTGATCTGTAGCTTGAGTTGAAATCAAGTCGAAAGAGATGGAAAAAATATATTCCTATATATATAAAAAAACAAAAAACTATTTACATTTAGGGAAAGTGAATCAAAACTTCAAGTTTCAAAGAGGGAAAAGGCAGCAGTATTAATGAAACCAGACCCACAGATGCAGTTTTTAGCCTTGAGATACTGTTGCACAGTCACTCTGCTTCTAACAGAGTAAGCCAGTGAGCAGGACACTAGAGACTGAGGGTGATCCACAGGAAGATTTACTCAGACAAGACTAGATTAAAGCTGAGCACGATCCGGGAGAAATGTCGGGAGTGTCCATCGACAGGAACCTTTAATTGGGTGAAGAAATGGCTTACAGTGCGACAGGCTTCACCATTCAACACATTTACTGGTGTATTATTATTGATCTAATCCTCAGCAAAGAGCACTGTTATCCAGAGCTGGTCACGCTTAAAGCAAAGCAATGGCTAAACCTAAGAGTGAAGAGTAATTTTGAAAGGAACCAAGTGACCTCAGCAGTGGAAATGACCTAGCTGTCAAAGCTGAAATCCTGAAATATCGTATGTGTTTTGAAGTCTGCTTGCAGCTTGTCCACAGAACTCAAGGAGTCAGGACTCCTCAAAGATTTTTTCTCTTTTTTATTAAAAACAGGCAGATTTGGAAAACTTGTTGTGTTTTCCAACCCCTAGTCGAGAACTCTTAAGAAACACCTTAAAATCCCTACCTGGTTAGACTCACCAAGAGAAGGAAAGGTCTCCAAAGCTCTTTTATCACTGAGGTAACTTTGCCCAAGCCGTATTTTGAAGAGCACATGACTATAAACTTCCCTACTTTAAAAACAACCTACAAGGCACCCCTTTCCTTGGGATCATTTATTCTGAGGCAGGGCAATTTGCAAATTGAGGCCAGAGAAGGGAAGATAAAATGTCATTAAAATTTTAAAAATGCAGGGGGGAAAGTCACCTTGTGTCCCATAAAGGATAAGTGAAAACAATCAACCTCCTTCCCCCCCAAAATAGCTTTTCTCTCTGATAATTCCACTGAAAAATATTTGTACTTGGTTTAAAGGCAAGACAGAAATAATCCTCTCTCTGTTCCCCTAGTAGCACAGAAGAGGGTTTGTATTTCCAGAATAACTCGTGGACAAGAAACTCGTGTCCACCTTGTCAAAGGAAATTGGCCTGTAAATTCACAGCAAATACTTGCAATTTGTGAATTTCAATGACATTTTAAAGAGAAGGGTTGAAAAGTAAAGATTTTCAAGTAAGCTGCCTTTTTTTTGCACTCAGAATTTTGGGGATCTGAACACAGAATTGGAGAAGAGCAAAAAGTCTCTAAACTCAGGGCAAAATAAAAGGGCAGGAAGGGAAAAAATCAGCACACTGTTTCTTAAGCCCTGCTTTAAAGATACCCTGTTCTAAAGAGACCTCAAATGGCAAGCATTACCGTGTACAAAAATAGAATAGCAAGGATGAAAAAAACACAAAAAACAGTATGAAAAAAACCCTCCCAAAAATAGATGTACACAAGTTCTATTTTATATTAGTGTATATTACAAAATTCAAACATGCAGTCTCTATTTTGGATGTGGAACGCTCCAGTCCGGGTGTACCAGGGATGCTGCTATGTTTTCTTCGCAGCACCATCACAGGACAGAGGAAAGTCTGGCACTTTTAACTGACTTCCAGCCTCTTTGCCTTTTCCTTGTGCGAGGGTCCCGTCCTTCCAGGGCCTCGTGCTGCTGTCTGGCAGAGGAGAGGCCCCCAGGGCGGGCTGCCCCGGGGCGTGCGGGAGCTCCGTGGAGGAGGCGCTTTTGCAGCTGCTTCCCAAAGCTTCGGATGATTTAGAACTGCAAAAGGTTGGCTCCTTTTTTGCCCCCATGGGACACGCTGCCTCCCACGTCTTCGCTGCGTGCAAGGACTCCGTGCAGGATCCGCTCCTGGTGGGCAGGCTGCCGGTGCTGGGGGCTTTGGCTCTCTCTTGACACGGTCCTGCTTGCAAAGCTTCCTGCTTTTTTTGTTTGGAATCCCTCTCCTCTTGACAAGAGGCCCCCAAATGGTGGAAATCCTTCCTCTTTTCTGGCTCTCCAGATCCGGCCATGCTGAGCTTCAGAGGGCCCAGGACGCTCTGCGCGAGCGGCGACACGGAGAGCGCTCGTTCCGCGGCGCCGGGGACGGGGAGCGGGGAGGACCCCGGAGCCGGGGCACTGCCCTGGCTCGTTTTGCTAGCAGCTGAAACACTCTCCGTCTGCAATGAGCTGGGCTGCTTTCTGTCGGTACTGGGACTTCTGGGGGGTGTTTCACTCCTGCTTGCAGGATGCAGAAAGGGGCTGCTGCGCTCGACAGGCTGCAGCGTCTCCTTGGGAGCCTCGGCGCTGCCGTCGCCGCGGCTCGTTGAGAGCGTAATGCTCACGCTCGCCGTGCAACATGGAGAAAGAACAAGCAGAGGCTTCGAGTCATGCTTTTTCTGACTGATTTCTGGGAGCAGAGAGTCTTTCGGGTCAAGTTTACCACAGGAGGCCCCTGAAGAGTCACCTTGTTCAAGTTTAAGAGGTTTCATAGATGGGTGCTGTATGTGTTCGGTATGATCTATTGGTTTTGGAGTACTAGTAGTTTTCCCTAAGTCTTTGATTGCTTCATGAGATTTGCCTTCTTGACTAAAATGTTCTGATTTTTTGTTTTCTGGCACTTTAGGTTCCTTTGCAGTAGTTTCTGACCTTAGGAATGGCTTTTCTGAGCTGGGTAAGATAGGCAATTTCTCTGGAGAAGTTCTTGGGAGGGCCCCTGATGAGGAAGGGTGCACACTGGTTTGCAGCAGCTCTGAAACAGCCTTGGCTTGCTGATTATTTACCTTTTGCAATTCTTCTGTACCTTTTGGATCTTCAGGCAGAAAGGCATCATCTTCAATACTATCTTTGCTTTCTAATTTAGAAGAAAATTTATCCTCATTAAAAGAATCAGAGCCTCGGTCTCCATTGCCAGGTGGCTTGTCCAGTCTTCTTCCATCCTGACTATCCTCTGAACCATCATCCGTTTCATCTTCTGAGGAATCTACTTCCCTTATGGCCTCCTGCTTTTGCAGGGACTCTCTCCTCTCCACCCTGTCCTGCCGAATAGCACCCAGCTTCCTGGAGCCTGGCTTCTGCAACATGACCTTTTCTGCTAGTCCAAGTTTTCCACTTGTTGTTTCATTCGCAGACTCTTGTAAGCTCTGGAGACTAGGATCCCTCTGCAGCATTTCCTTCTTGAATTCCGAATGAGAAATATCCAGGCTATGCTTCCGTGAGGAACCCAGCTTCTTCTCAGAAGACGACAGTGAGGCAGCCAGTTTTTCTGCCGACTGGACTCTCTTCAGCAAAGGAGACCTAGGGGGCTCAGCACTTTTAGGCCGAGAAATTTGCCTTACCAGTGGTGGAGAGGAGTGTAGTTTCACTGGAAATGACTGAATAACACTGGAACTGCCAACTGAATGCCCTGGTAAAGGGGAAGGGGAGCGTTGCGGAGATGTGGACTGTGGTGTTGGTGATGGAGTGTGAGCTAGTGGCGACAGAGGGATGTTTCCTGCAGATTTACGCCTCGGAGACCGATACTGCCTTTGGAGCTTCGGCGCCAGGCCATGCAGAGAGCTGGGTCGGATGTGTCCAGAGCTGGCTGGAGAATTGGGGACACTGGAACTGGGAGAGCTGCTCTGGGAAGAATTGCCACCAACTTAAAAAAAAAGAAAGAACAGACCAAAAAGATTATTATATATTGATTAAAACTACTTCTTGAAAACAAGACAGGCAAAGGCAACACAAAATGCCATGTTATTATGAACCACTGCAGTAATATTACAAAGCTTCCACTGAAAATTCACAGCATCGTCATGACACCATAACACAGGAAAAAAACATTCTGCTAACATAATATTTTCTCTGCAAAAACTCCAAGCAGATAAGCCATGTGTTTCAACGCTATTCTCAGGATGCAAATCCCGTTATTCTGTCAGCTAATCTAATTTTCAAATATGATTTTTCCATAGTGTTTTGATTCCTTTCTTCAGAACTAATACAGAAAATGTGTCAAACAGCTATAAAAACATTGCAACTTACAACACACATTTGCATCAAGGCAAAAGGATAACGTAGCTCAGCATTTGCATTCTTAAAAGGACATACGGATTTTCTTTTTATTTTGTCACGAACAAATGAATGAGAATACATCCTTACACATACACCTTACGGTAACCTATGTAGCAATTGTAATTTTATTTCAAAAACAGACCTACCATCTGCTGCTGCGTATTTTATTTCAAAAATGAATCAGTAAGTAAACATCAAAATTTTCTCCAAATCTTGTCCATTGGCCCCCTTTCACACCCCTCCGCCCCTGTTTTTTTTTTTTTGTTTGTTTGTTTTTGTGTATGTTTGCTTGTTTTGTTTTTATTTTTACCTGAATGCACAGACTCGGGTGTGGATCTGTAGCTCTGCGTAGGTGAGCGAGGAGACAGATTGTGAGTTGGAGAACCAGGTACACTTTCTCCAGAAGAGAGTGAGCGGTTTAGAGAAGATAAACTACGGCTGGTGTGAAGCAGTGATGCTTGTTTAGTGATCTTCCTGAACAAAGAACTCTTCTTCTTACTGTGGAAAAGCATTAAAACGATGTTTAAAAGCCCCAAAGTCTTATATTTATCAGCACATTTCACTCAATTTAATAGCACTCTTAAAGAACAAAGGAAAACAAAAAGAAAGTAAAAACAAAGAGTGTTCCTGCTGGCAGACATCAGGTGCAAATTGCTTTGACAACACTTCTGTTGCATCATCTTGGTTACCACCTAATTTTCACGGAGAAATATCAACACTAACCTTTCCTGCCCATCTTTAGTTTTGCTTTTCTTGTTCCTACGAGCCATCTTGGATTTGTAGCTGGCCTTTCGGGCTGGCCCAACTTTGATCGACGTGTTCTCAAATGGTGTGGTCGAGATGGACACTTTATTTCCACTCTGTCAGAAACACGGAGCAGACACAGTTTAAAACACGACCTCTTGAAGCAGATTTGCAGGCTAAGCAGGTAGACAGTTAGTTTATTGCTGACTGCCATTTTGTAATCCTATGTCAAACTCCATTTCCCTCTTTGCATTTCCACCTATCATTTATTAGGGAAGAGCTGAGAGAGAGCCCTCTTTAGTCAGGCTTTCACAAATGATTAAATCAGATCCCAGCTGGTGGGTGAAGCTTCACAGAGCAAGAGAACATGGCATCTGACCTCTCCCATTGACATCCCAACCGGCTCAGTTTAATACTCATACAGCATCAAAATGCAATGGTGCTAGACGCTGAAGAAATGCTATTAAATGATACCATCAGGCATCTTCTGTTTGGAAACTTGAACAAAGTGATATTCTGTCACCAATCCTACTTGCTCTTTCCAGTGTGCTGACTGATGGCAGATGTGAGCGTATCAGGCATCTGTCAAGACGAATCTGTGCCACAGAGCAAGGCTTGTCTCACTCAGCTCAGAGTGGGGAAAAATGGCTCCTATATCTGTGATCCCAAAGACTTCTTGGAACTATCTAAAACTTCAGGTTTTATTTAAATAAATGAATTCAGCTTAGAGAAGGTATCAAAATGCAAGTCATTTATCTGGATAATTTTAAAACCAACCATTACAAAGCTGCTTTTAAATACCACTGGGAATAATCCTTGAGAAAGCAGTATTAAGAGCTAATAACATTAGCACAGCCTAAAGCCAAAAAAAAAAAAAAAAAAAAGGCAATTTGGAAAATTTTGAAGGTATTTGTTTCTTAAAGTGATGCTTGAGGAAAGGTATACTTAAATCTCATTAACCTTTCTCGCTGATGCTGCTAACTGTGCATCTGGTGAGCCCTATTTCTCACAAAAAAGCTTGGAATTCTGCTGAAATTACATGCAGACAATTTTGCAGATATAGGGATCAGGTTACATCAGTAAGCTTTTGCAAAACAAAGGCCAGGTGCCACGTGCTTACTTTGTACTTCAGAAAAGTGGAAATTAGATAGCTACAGTGTTTAAAGAAGCTGTTTCATATTTTGCATATTGCCCATCTCCCAGAATAGGCCAGCGCTGAGCACCCACCTTCAGGATCAGCTCCACCACCTCCGTGTGCACCAGGCCGTGGACGGGCTCCCCGTTGACGTGTGTGATGAGATCCCCTTCACGCAGGCCTGCCTCGTGCGCCGGGCCGCCGTCCTCCACGTGCTGGCAGGGAGAAGGAAGCACCGGTTTGAGAGGAGGCAGCTACGAGCCCGCCGGCCGGCTCGTGCTGTGGCCAGCACCGGTCGCTTCGCGGGTGGCCAGAAGCCCTTGGCCAGCACAGCCGAACGCTCGTCTCTGTGCCCTTCCTCTCCCTGGCGCTCGTCTCCTGATCCCAGGCGGATTTCCGGGACGGTTAAGCTGATCGAAACACCAGCTCCTCCCAAAGCAGGAATCTTAACCCACTTTTGAAACTTTTCATCATTCAGAAATGCTAACTCAAGACTCTCAATTTGCAGGTAAGTATTCAGTCCTTTTCAAGACCTTTGCTGTTCCAAATCCAGCAGCTTAACAGGTACTTGCTAGCAACTGAGAAGGCTCCTAAATAAGATTCCATGCCATGCACTTAGGTTGTCTATATTGCATCTAATCCCAAACACGTATTTTCCACTTTCCATCCCTTATTAGCCTACACAAAACAAAGCCTTTTCCCTGACCACACTGCCTCTCCCCCACCACTGTGCAGAATGGGGAGCTGCCTTTAAAGTGGCTGACAGTTATGCTTGACAATACTTCAACTCTCCCTCCAGCCAGAAGAAGTTACAAATCAGTATCTTGATAAATTTGGCATTTTCCCAACAGCACAAAGGAATACGGGAAGAAATGCAGCTCCAGATTATGTCTGTATGCACAAATGAGTGTTAAGTGACGATCAAAATAATCTAATGAACACAGAGAGACACATGAAAAATAATGAGCCACCTTTACCCAGGCTCCCTCCTCTCTAACAGTTCACATAACATTGCTCCAGGGAGACGATCAGTCCTATAAGTCATATACATTAACAAACAACATAGAGATCAAGTGCCACAATTTATGTGAAGGAAGAGATATGGACAAGGAAACCAGCCCTTGTGAGATAGCACACAGCTGAACCAAGGGCTAAATCCCTAGGCAATCAGCACGGCAGCATGATGCTTGAAGGCTTGTAATCAATTCCAAGCATCTGCTTTGAGCACGCCAGCAGGCTGATGTCGAGCAGACCATCCTTGCTAACACAGGCCTGAAAAAAATAGCTCTAACTGACCCTCGTGCAACAACCCCAACAGAAATAAAGAGGTCATGTGCAAAGAAACATGCTTTAAAATATGAGTTACAGGAGAAAGGAAGTGGATTCATGTAACCAGGAAGAAAGAAAGAAAGAAGGTGGCTGTGATTCTGTGAGGGGCTTGAAAACTGCTATACTTAAACCCAAAATGCTGTTATTGTTTTTTAAGGATTTCCCCCACCCCAAGAACATATCTTCGGGTCCAAATAAGGATAGCGGAAATAGAGTGGCAAAACACAATGTATAAAGCTAGACCCCACAGTCATGGCAGAGAGCATTTGTGGACCCCAGGGTACTCTTTTGAGAAAAGCAGAGACATACCCAGACCATGTGATGCACAGTGTAGATATCACTGTCACCCATATAGACGCGAATGGCACGGAGAGTGAAACCGTATTTCTTTCCAGCCCGATGGATGATGATTGGTGGTTTCAGGTTTGCGATAGCAGGAGAAAAGTCGCGGCTGGGTGAGGAGTCCCTCGAAGATGGGTTTGAGGATAGAGAATGAGGTGACATTGGACTAGCCAATGGGGAACACGTGTGGTGATCTACAGCGATGACACAAAGGTGTGCAAAAATTAGGAAACCAGGCCTCCAAAAGAGATAAAAATCTTGTTAGAGAACAGCTAGGAAACCATCTCTCCCAACGCCCTTAAGAGCTGGTGGTCTTCACAAGCAGGGCTTTTCCTGCAGCATTAATTAATCCATGCTACAAATATGAAAATCAGTGGAGTTTCCAAAGAGCACATTTGGTAATAGGTATTTAATATAGCAGCTCTGCTCATCTAGAATTATGGCTGGGTTACACTATTTACTTCTTCTGTTTCAGGGATTTATAACCCACCATAAATATTTGCTCTAGGCACAATCTTGGAATACTCCATTTAAAGGTTATGAAATACTGCCCCTCTCCAAAAGATCTGGTACTTTCTAGATCTTGATGCAAGTTGCATATTTGTGCTGAGATACGTCAAAGCCAGTTACTATTAAAAAAAAAAAGCGGGGGGGAAGCAATCAGACAAAACCTGTATCTAGGTAATTTTGGTAATTTTTAAACTCGTAGGAGCAAAAATATTTAACCCTAAAAAAGTAGCTAATGCAGGAACACTGTTACTTATAACATCACGAGTGTACTTTAGGGAGCCTTGTGGATCTCAGTTCTCACTGATGTGGCTGTGACTCAGCTGGGCTACTGAATAAAATATCTGACTTTGCTTGGTGACATAACAATATCCACACATAAAAAACACAGAGCAAATACATAACTCTTATTTTAAAGTGAAGCTGGTCAATATCAGTAAAAATACCCCAAACAGTAGGAGTATTAAATGCAGCTGTAAAAAGAAATCCTAAATCCGTTAAGAAACCGAATCACCCAGCGTATATTTACCTGGTGGATGAGGGCAGCTCTGGCAGAACCTTTGCTGGGTGACTAAATACCATTTTAGAGATTTTCAGAAGGGAATTTGTAGTTAAAAAAACAACCATGGCCCAGACCATAGGACATGAAATGTGCATCATCCCAGTGGTGCCAAGAAGCAATTTCAGGGCTGTCTTCATTTGAGTCAGGTGAGCAGGTACTGCTCAACCTGCTGGGCTGGCACTCATGGCCCAAATGCAATTCCCAGCTCCAACCCAGGTTGGGTCAGGTAGAGCCTGGGAACACTGGGAAAGGTCTTTTCCTCTGGAGAGAGGGACAAATCCCTGGTAGGGTTTTTTTGCTGAACCTATTTTTCATAGTTCTGCTTGTCAGGGCTGCTGTTAGCGTCCAGCATTAGGAATTGTCAAGGTTTGTCTTAGGGACAGAGCTGGACAACAGCGTTAAGTCACTCAGCATTAACTTCCTTGGTGAGTCACTTACACTATCGAATTCTTGAACGCTCAATAGCATTTAACCAAGATATCTGAAGTTATGGAAACTTCCCTGTGCATGAATGCACCAGAGGCTCCAAACAACACAGGGATCAGGTGCTGGCGTGTGACAACGAAACAGCACCTTGAGGGTTAAAGGCATTCCCAGGCTATATCCCTCCTCGCTGCACCGCTGCCTGGGGACCAGCTTATGCTCCAGGAGCCAATTTAAATAAAACACTACTCCTGGAAACAGCAAGGGCCAGCTGCCATTTACAGAAGCTGCAGTCAGACCCCCCCAACAAACACTCCTTGTCTTTGCCGGAGCAATATTCGTTATCCTAGCAAGCCATAAATATTCACCAGCTGTAAAGTCGGGATCGCTCCCCGCTGCCAGCTATGGCTTTGCTGCGGGAGCGCGGACGGGGGGAGGCCCTATCTGCAGATCTTTTGTTCGGTGCTTGCAGACTCTCGCAATGCCTAACACAAGGCATTTCTTACCTGAGGGAATCAGGAGAGACAAGGCAGTAGCGGATGCTGATTTAATCACTTTATTGACAGGTCTCGAGGTACGTTTCTCCCCTGATTCCCCAGAGAGCAACCTGTGTCGTGCCCGCCGCACTGCCAAATCGCTGATGGCTTTTGGAGTGGTAAAGTCTGGGCCTTCATTGCTATTACTGCGAGCGCGTGGATCAGAGAAATCTGCAGTGCTCCCAGCTACAGTTTAAATTAAAACAGATTAGAACCACAGGGAATTCCTAACAGTCTATTCCCCTACAGGCAAAATACATTAAATCAAAGTCATGTTTACATGAAGTCCAAGAGTAAATTCTCCTAAGAAGAAACCCCAGGGCTTGAATTCTTATTTACAGAAATGGTGTTATTCTGAAAACAGAAAATTAGCAGCTTCTGTTCTGTTGGAAAAGCTTGCTAATGAAATCACATTGCTCAGTAGCAGAGTTGCTTGAATCTTAAATCTATGGCGAAGCTCTGCACATAAACCCTTTCAATAGAATTGTTCACAGATGGAAACAAAGTTTATGGCAAGTGCTCCATTTTTACAACCAGCAAGAACTGTCAATCTTAAAATTAAAACCTGTCTATAATAGAAGAGCCAGGTTTTATTGTACTTGCACATAAAAATCCACTTTAAGAGAATAGTAAGATACTAAATTCAGGGAAAGCAAAAAATCACAATTCAGCTTTGAATTACTTAACCTTCTATAACTGTATATATAAATGCAAAGTAAACTGCAAAATGAGGCCAATCCTCTCAATCTGGGCATGCAGCATTAGCAGATATAGGAGGGGAGGGTGTCCCCAAGCTCTATGCCTCAGGTCCCCAGCTGATACCTTAAAGGGGCATCATGAAAATACATTAATTAGAACTTGCAAGGTGCTCGGAAATGCAAGCGGTGAGCAACGCAGCAAGTCCATGAGGGAAATTAATCATTCTGTCTTCAAAAGCAAATTTGGAGAGGCGTGCAATAAATAAAGCCTAAGGGCCACAATTTGAACAAGGAGGACAGAACAAAACATTGATCACTGTGATTTAAGCGAGCACCACTGCTCTGCATACTAAAAGCAGGGAGTACCATGGAAAGAAAAACGCAGAGCACCATTCCCATAGCCTGCAGTACCAAATGCCAGTTCAACACTTCAGAGCCACAGTTTCAAATTAGGCCCCCACACAATGAGGAACCCAGAACTGGAGGCTGTATGTGAAAAGGCCAAATTAGGCATTAAAGGAGCACTCCGAGGCAGTGATGGGAATGAAATTCCTTTTCCTTCAATCTCCTGCCTCTGACTTTACTTTGCAGGCAGAGGATGCTCTGAAGCAATGGCACTAACTGAGGCACTGGAAGATCTGAGGAGCATGGAATTAAAGACTAGTAAAGCCTGCACAAGGGTGCAGGCTGCCCAGAGAAGCTTCATTTTTGCATAACACAACTTCAAGATACTCAGATTTGTAATGAGAGTATTCTTGTATTTTTATTTTCATGTAGGCTTTCAGTATGAAATGGAGAGGCTAAGATCTTTATCCCACACTTTCACCATGACGCTTGCATCATCTGAGGCTGTTGCAGATCACTTCAATCATACCTAAGCCTTTTCACATGAATTAACGGAATAAGCGTAGGCACTAACAGGCTCTCATCTACTGGCATAGAGAGGCAGCCACAGAGGTGAATGGGACAACTTGTGAGCAAACTACACTCAGAAGGGATTTCAGAGAGGAATAACAAGAGGTGGAACCTCAGGTTTTACTCCAGGCTTGGAAGCAAGCTTGCTCTAAAGTCTTTCCACCTCCTGCCATCCATCCACCATCACAGCTGCTCGGTGCCCCTCACTGTGTTCCTGTCCAGTCTCACTGCCACTCCTTGTTCCCTGTGCCTTTCCTCACCACCCTCAATGCATCCACAATCTCCCTGCCTGCTTGCTCCCAGTTTACACTAGCAACTTGTTTCTTATTCTCTTATCCAGTTAGCCCTTTTTCCTCAATGCTGCACTCTAGTGCTGCAGTGCGGGCAGAGTCATCTGAGAATCCAAGCACTGATTCTAAACCTAAGCAAGTTGCATGTTTTTCAGCTTATAACTTGGCTGAATTTGGGTATATTCGGCTGAGGTAGCAAAGAGTGTGTCCCTGACATAAGAGACACTCCTTAGGCAAATCTCAAGTCTTTGCTCCAAAGACTTGGAGTCTTTTCAGAGGGAAAAAAAAATCACTGGAAATGCTTTTTCATTAATGAGTTAAACATCCTCATTCTCCAGCCTCAATCAGAAGTGACCTGCTCTGATTACTGCTTAAAAATTTCTGCCTCAGGTAGGTGCAGATCTTATTAAGAGTAAATGGGTCATGAGAAGACCTTAATCAATTTGAAATGACAGGACTGCAATAAGGGATGCAATTTTGACAAGATTAAGCTACTGGCATTACTTTGAAGGCAAGCAGAGCCACCAAACCGTGGTAAAACACTACTTAGCATGAGGCAGTCGCAGCCCCAAATCCACATTGCTACACAGCCTGTACCTACAGAACGAAGCAGGCTTCCTTGGGGCCGCTGCGCCGCGTACGTACCCGTGAGCGTGGAGGCCCCGAGCAGCGCCGGCGCACCGTCAGCGGCGGGCTCGAGTCGCTCTCCGTGTGCGACGACTCCGACATGGAGAGGCGCTTCCGCAGGCTAGGGGGAAAAACAAGACGGATCTCCTGGTTATGTTACAGGAGTGACAAATTTCAATGGCCTGGCGAGAGTCCTGGAGCAGAGGCAGTGAGATGCCCAACTCCTCGCTTGGCCAAAGGCCATTTCAGATATGGCTTGGAGGCCAAGCTATGTCATGAAGATGTAAACCAGCAAAAGGCTGGGGACATCGCCTGAGTTTGAATTTCCAAAATACTCCATTATTAACCTCCTAAGGAAGGAATAAAAAGAAACAAAAGATAATACAATGAATATGGAATCAAGTATTATTCCAATTAATCATAAGAAAATGGCAGATGCAATCATCACCCACATTGCTTTTGGAATTCCATTGCTAATTTTGCTTTCAAAATTACTGTACATTTAAAGCAAGGAAGGCCTGATACAAGATGAAGCCTGTATCAGTTAAACATGTAATCGATAATATGATTTCTGAATGGAGTCATACAGATGAGATCACAACCACATTTTATTATCTTTATAATGCCACATATTAGTATAAAAGCTTTACAGGAGTTAGAAAAAAGTGTAAGATATTCCTTCATAAGATAAGTTTGACAATTATTTCAGTCCTACTGGATGCATGGTGGGGTATCCAAATTCCAAGCAATCACATATTTTATTGACATTTTTACCTGAAGAAAAATTTTTAGGGGTTATATTTAGGGGTTAAACTTCAGAAAATTTGGATTATCTAACAGTTCATCTTCAACAGAGACGAATGCTGGCAACACCAGATTTTGGATTTCTTGATGTTTAAGAAAAAAAAAATCTTTCTGCATTTTTCTAACTAGCCCGTCTGCAAATGAAAGGCTTTCTTAAGGTTAGAATTCCTTTAATTTCATTTGAAGTATTTACTACAACTTTAGGAGATGCTAGTACTTAAGTGGATATACTTAGGGAGTACATCACTTCTACATATTTATTTTCTATTTATTCTACTCGCCAAGCTCCACCTTTGGAAATACCACCGTATGAAGCATTTCTGACCTAAGATTGACAAGAAGAAGGCACAAGGCTTTCTCATATACTGCAGGAAAACCAAAAGATTCAGTTCCACTAAACTTACATTTCAGGAGACCCAATGACCCAGCTGCGGTCCCGACCCTTCAAGCCACCAAGGCTGTCTAATCGGTCGTCTTTTTCTTCACTTAGGCTCCGTTTAGTTGGTGGCGGAGTCTTCCTCTCTTCATGGATGGAAAGACGCTCCATGCTGCTGTACACCTGCACATAGCAAAAGATTCTTCTGTTTCAAGAATAGAGAAAATCCTATGTGACCCTTCCCGGCCAAGGATATGAGCTCCTCAAAATGGCAGATATTCACTGAAAGCATGAACTTGGCAACGACCCTTGACTGAATAACACAGAATCTGGTATTGCTGTGACATGCTCTTAGTATGCCGTGGAGAAAAGGAAAAAGATAAACTTCAGAAACATCAAATATTCTTTTCTACAACAGTAGCCATCACCTGTTCTCTGTAAACAGCACAATACCATGGCAATAGGAAGACTTTTTAAATAGAGGTTTTTTATTTTTTAAAAGCAATCCTCACATTTAAGCAAAAAAATTGCTAAAATAGGCTCCATGAGTCTGAAGGTTAGCATCTGGATCTTGAAATCTTACAACACAAATTCAATTTGGTGATAGGCATCATGCTCATGACCCCATTTCATTATCATCAGTCTATCAGCGTTGCCCTGAGCTCAATTCAGAACAAAAAAGTCCTGCCCTCCTCAAGGAATCTACTATAACGCTGACAGCTTAATGAAAGTGCCTCTCTTGGTTTTACAGCCGTCTTTAAATAATTAAATGATTAAGCAAAAAAATCCATGCTTTTAAAACTACACTTGACTGTAGACCTAATTTACATAAGAAGAGATTAATGAAAATAATGTTATTAAAAATTCAGAGCATCAACAAGATAACTATTAATAAATCATATGGCTGAATTGTCAGACAAGAATTTCAAAATATAATGAGCCTTTTATGCCTCCCACACTACAAATGCTGTATAATTTTCCAGGGCTTAAAATAAATTCATTAAAAGTGAACTTTTTGTGGCAAAAATACTTAACCCTAAAGAAAAGCCTCAGTCTAACAGATGAATAAATACTCACAGTGAGTTAAGAGGGCAGAAAAGAAAAAAAAAAGAGAGAGAGAAACCTTTAGATACTCATGAGAACTTTTTCAAAAATGCAACTAATGTTCAGGTCAATCTTAAGCATGCTTTTGGTGATGCAGATCAGGAGCAACTCCACAAAATTAATGGTAACTGTTACTCAAAACTACTGAAGCCCAGCTGAGAACAAAGAAGAGTGAACTTATGCTTCAAGTATGACCTCAGTATTGGAAACCTAGAGATACTGCTGTGCAAAAAACTTAAACATCTTTCCAAGGCCCTGCATAAAATCCTTACCTCCATGCTTATCTAGAAAAGGAAAATACTGTTCATAGAGTGTTCCCATTCTTCCCTTCCCTGAACATACTTTGTTTCATCCAAGTTAATGGTGGAATTGTACTACTTCAAAATGTCTGGAATCCCAGCTTTTATTTCAGACCACCTGAATAAGAACTTCAGACCTGTGCAGACCTGGATAAGGCACATTCAATGCACAAAGTATGGCTAGAAGGGACATCCTCAGGGCATCCTGTCCATTTCCCTACCTCAAAGCAGAACCATCTCTTAATCACCAGGCAGATGTTCTTCCAAACTGTTCTAAAAAGCCGCCAGTGATGGCAGTTCTACAAATTCCCCAGGCAATTAGTGCCTGTGCTTAATTACATTCCAACACTGCAAACTTTTTCTTACCATTTATCCTGTAACTTCTTTGTGGCAGTTTATGCCCATGATTTCAATCCTGAATAAAATGGGAAAACTGTATTCTCTTCCTTCAGCAATTTTGTGTTTGAAAACTGCTATCTTGCCTTTCCCTCAGTCTTGTGTGCTCTAGACTGAACTCTCTCCAAGGTTTTCTTTCAAGTTTTATGTTTCGTAGATCTCTGATCATTCTTGTTCCTTCCCTCAGGTCTCCCTTTCACTGGTCCTCATTTCTTTTCAAGAATATTGCCCAAAACAGGATAGAATGCTCCCCTAAGCACTTCCTACTGCTGAGCAGATGAAAAGGATTTCTTCATTTGCCATGCAGAAAATAATCTTCCTTGTCCAGTATGATAACTGCATTTAATAATTTCACATGCTTAACTCAAGATCCACTATAAGACCAGATTTTTCTCTTTGAAATTGTTGCCTCATCTTTTGTTCCTCATCCTGTATTTGAAATGATGAGAAGCACAGGTCTATACCTGCATACTTCACATTTGTTCTTACTGCATGCGATCCCTTTGATTTTTAATCACTATTCCAAGTTGTCAAAATCAATTTTCATCCTCCTACCATCTTCTCACCTACTGGAAGGCTCTTCCAGAACAATCCTGTCTGAAGGAAATAAGCACATCTCCCTGTGCCATTATATGAGTCTTCAGTGAAAACGCTGAGCAGCATCAGGAGCCGGGGAACCCTCTGCAGAACCCCACACATTAGTGAGACTTAAAAGGACAAGATCTGTCTCTTAAAGCAGTCTTGCACTTCTATTAGCACAGAGTAACCTAGAAGGTACACAGCTCTTTCCTTTCTCAGTGACTATTAGACAATATGTGGCTCCTGTATTATCATCCACACTGTTAAAATTACTTCATACAAAGCAATATTGGTCTGAGAAAAGATGTTCCTCTCTAGATTTTTCTTTCAACAAACCAGCCTGCTCTCACCTTGCTGAACCTTGGCGAGCACGAGGAGAACTGCCTAATTTCCACGTGATCGTCATCATTTGTGTCTTCCTCCTCTTCTGAATCCAGGTGTTGGTACCGTTCTGACCGGGCTGCGAACAAGACATGGCACATTTAATCAGTGCAGGAAGCCTTGATGACTCCTATAATATACCCTCAAGCAGCACATGCTTACGCAAGAGAGTCTTTGCACCAATTCCCACTTGTCTGCCTACAAAGAACTCTTGAGCGCTCACACAACACGAAGAGCATTTTCTTTAAAAGTGAAATCCACCCAGCCTGTTTTGCTCATCCTGTACAATAAGCAGTGAAGAATACTTCATTCTTTATACTGACTGAACTTAGCATAAGCCTCTGGCTATACTAGATGCTGAAAGCAATTGATTCTCAGCAGAAATCATATAGATATCTAATTCTGTAGATCATTCTTAATAAAAATATTTCCTAAGGCAAACAATAGTATGGAAGGAAACAGGAAAGCAATTCACTCTGTCCCAATTTCCAATGAAACGGCTTTGTAACACACAAAGTCCACTCACATATGAGTTGTTTTTGAAAAACAGAAATATTTATCCCCCAAATAGTTTCTCTTCTCCCCCTCACAACTAGCAAATGGATTAGATTTTGTGAAAGGAAATGGGCAAGTAGCCAGTATGCAAAGCTACTTTTTGATGCAAAAATCTAAAATGCCTCCAAATAGATTTTGTGGTTTGAGATTTGCAATACTGTAATTCTAAGCCAGCCACACTGGATTTTGTGATAGGGGTTAATAAATTTGGCTACAGAAAGCTGATAGCTGTACTGAGCCAAATTTGCTGCACTGTATGAGTCAGAAAGCTACTTTTGTAAATTATGATTTTTTCTGTGTTAGGGTTGAGAACAGCAATGCCAGCTCCTATCGGTGTCCGTGTGAGACGTTTCCCAACATAAGGATCTTCCAGCCTTTAGGAAGGACGTGCTTCAAAGCTGCCATGCCAATGTCCCGAGTGTGCCTAGATACTCAGGGAGCTGCTGCGTGGCCATGGAGCAGAGCAGCAATGGGCTCACCGGGGGTCAGCAAGGCCCTGGGAGGAGGATGGAAGAGATCATTTGATGTAGAGCAGAAATTGCTACAGCTCTGGGTCTGAAATACCCCAATATCATCTTACGCTGAAGCCGGAATAGGGGGAAGACTCCCTGAGTGGAGCCCAGCCTCCCCTCCAATAACTCTGACTCCTTGGCTGGGGCTAAGCTGGAAATACCACCAGCCACGCATAACACGGGTACGTAACAATAAAATAAGGTGACTCTTATAATTTAATCAAACAATTTAAGTTACTTTAAAATTGTAAAGAATTTCCTCTTCTGATTTGTTTTCAAAGTTTGAGTTTTTTTCTAAAACCATTTTTTTCGCCTGAAAACAGTCACTAGGAGCTGGACATACCAACCTGCTCTGAAAGTACTGCAACAAATCCCATATAAAACACATTGCACTGTAGGGGAAAGGCAGGCAGATCCACAGGCACCAGGGAAAAAACAGCAGATTTTACAACAATGTTTTCTATTTAAAACTAATTTGCTTTCAATATTTGGCCTTTGACAAAACTTTTTAAAGGAATTCCCATCAAGTGCTTTATTCGATATCTGTCAGTGATTTATACTTAACAATTTTTATAATAAAATAAAATATGCACAAAGAATATGATGTAATTTATGCTGAATCTTTAGTCTTACTGTCAAAATAGCTTGTGTCATCCTCAGATTCCAACTGTGGAATGAATTCGGCTTTCTGTCGAAGTAATCCATTCCAGTCCAAATCTTTAAAGAACCGGTGCTGTTTCACTTCAAAGGCACTACCTGAAATAAGCACCTTTTATTGCAGAGTTATTTCTTATAGCATTTCATAACAAGAAATACAAACCCTAAAAATATCAAGAGCCTGAAAGAAAACCTGAGCACACAAGTGACTCATTTTCCAAGAATTTTGAGAAATAACCTGTCTTTAATAAAATGTGAACAAATTTCGTCCTTCCCACCTCTTTTTCATATTTAATGACAGCACCTGACTAAATTGGCTGGAAGACAACATCTGCCATCACATTCCACACCAAGCTGCAAGATTAAGAACTAATTAACATCTTAATTTAAAATTTCCAAACTCTAAATACCATCTTGTTCACAGCTAAATAAAGAGTGCAAACTCAGAAAGGTACTTAGCCAGTGAATGGCTCTGCTCCAGTCAGTAACGTCATCTGTGTGCTTAAAATGAGGTAGGGGCTTAAATCTCTTTCTGAATTAGTACCTTTGTTATTAACCTCAGAAGCTTGGGTGCCCAGAAGGAAAAAAAAAGGATTATCTATCTGCTACTAGGTGTATTTTTGCTCAAATGAAATTAATATTTATAAAAGATACTACTGTCTTTAAAAAAATAGCAAAGGAAAAGATAAAAGGTTTGCTAAATGCCAGTGGCAGCCAAGTAGAACAGCAATCTCAGCAATACAGGTGTATAAGGAATCAAAAAATCAGCCATCAACTCATTTTATAAAGCAAGGAACTCTACAGCTTTTCCATGACAGCATCATCTTTCAACTAGATGGATCTGAAGCAGAGAAGAACATGTGAACACCATCTGATTATACTATTAACTCATGATCTGTTCATCAGCCTTGTTCGCACATGTGTTAAGTCTGCTGAATAAAAGGGCCTTTTAGAATTGTTACATATTTAGTTTTTATTTTATCCTTAAAATGTAATTTCCAATTAAAAGTCCAAAGTTAAATGAAACAAATGAAAACAACGAAACAGATAACCTGTGCTGTGAAGATGCAGCACTGAATCAATGATTTTTAAACAGTAGGGTAGCTCGTGATTATTGATGGCTATTTTCGACGGGAAATAGAAAAGCTGCCTTGCAAAAGCTCAAATCTGACATTACAATGCAGAAAAAATGACATATGCACCTGACTTTGCCAAAGACACTATCAGATCTTTGGAGAACTGTACAGCACAGTCTTCTACAAATGGGCATGTTTTCATTTATTTTATTACACTCATGATTTCTCATCAGTATAAGGGACTACTCCCCTAGTCAAAGGGGGAATTTTTGAAGAAATCTGATCATAGACTGTTCAAATTGAGACACCAACCTCAAGCCTGGGATAGCACAAATAACTGGGACAACCCAAATTTGGAAAGTTAAGTTGCCAAGTTGAAGGCAAATTCCCTTAGTGGCTCTTTCCAGTTTCCCAAACAAGACAGCAATATCTGTCTGACTCATGCACAGTCTACACTGATTCTCAAACCTTCATCACAGAAGATTCATTCAGCTTAACAAAAATTGCTTCCCAGATCTAAAACAGCATTTTCAGCTCAATTTGGTATGCTTTACTAGTAAGGTAGACTCTTCAACTGTTTCTTGTGAATACATTTCTGCACACAAGGTTCCTACCTGTTCCCATTCTTTCCAAAGGATTTTGCCGGAGAAGCTTAGAAATGAGGTCCTGGGCATCTGGAGGCAGTGCATCGTCACCATCTGGCCAGGCAATTTCATCTGGGAAGAAAAAGAGACTTGACATTTTCCACCTTGTTCATGAACGATTTGAATAATCATTCACATTCCTGTACCATAGGATGCAGTGTTCAATACTGCCCCAGAAACACAAATACCTTGAATTCAGCAGCTTGCATACTTAATATAATTCAAGCATTGACATTTTCCAAAATGCATAAAATTCAGCCTCAAATAAAGCTGCTGTCAATCCAAGCAGTGCTTGTGGAGGAAAAAAAGAAAAGCATTAAAAACTCTATTAATAAAGTATGAAATGGGACTTCCACGACAATCCATAAACAATGACAGTGACAATACTGCAGCTGTATCTCGTGCCTGCACATTCAAGCCAGTTATACTTGGAACAGTGAGAACAATTCACAGGTAACCATTTCATGCACCAAATTTTGCCCTTCACTGAAATTCGGTTTCCACAAAGCACGTTTGCAGAGTCTTAAAAAAAAAATCTTACTGTTTCAGAAAATATTCCCAATAGGAAATGTTTTCACTTCATATTCACAGAGAGAACACAAAGCAAGCATTTGTCCAACTCCAAGCAGGAGACACGTTTAAAAACCCACAAGACATGAAGGTACTGAGCACAACAACATCCATTTGTTCGGGATATTTTTTTCGCTTCTACAATGATTACTGATTGACTGACATTTGCACCTCCAGAAGGGATAACATAAGATCAAAGTGAATACACTACCTTTTATATTCTGCATTCTATAAATTCACAGACAGAACAGAAAACACCCAAATATTCCCCCCGGTCACACAAGGAAAATTTCTTGTACAAATGTATGACTCTCATACCATGCACATTGATAGAAGTACCTCAGAAGGTGTTAAGCAACTCAAGACTTTGGGGATTTAGAATGAGCTTAATGCTGGTTTTTTTGACCCAGAAAGATAAGAACATTATTTTATAGTTAGTCTTTCCAGACTAAACTATCCTCAATATTTTCTAGATTTTATTTTACAGCACACTTGCAAAACCCTTCAGAAACAGAACAAAACTTACCACTGATCACTTGTCCAAAGAGCTCTTCAGGTGTGTCACCAAAGAAAGGGACACAGCCAACTAAAAACTCATAGAGAATAACTCCCATGGCCCACCAGTCCACTGGCTTCCCATAGCCCTGCCGCAGGATCACCTCTGGCGCGATGTATTCTGGAGTCCCACAGACCTCAAGAGAAACAGACAGCAAAGTCATGAAGCTACAGATAGCCCAATTCACACGAAATTCACATAAAAGTTCCCTTTGGTCTATTTTATTGTTATTCTTTTTCAACTCATCACTTAAAAGGGAATTTAAGGCTTATCACTAATAATTTGAAGCTGCAAACTCTTTCCAGCAGTAAAAGTCTATACGAGGAACATATTCTGTCACAGAAATGATATCACGTACTACAAAACATTCCTAGTGAACTGGCTAAGCAGTTCCTTGGTGCCACTACAGTAAAGCATATGGGAAAAAATGCATATTCCATGTGCATAAATGTGTCTATATGATGGATTTCTACTGGCATAGCTATAGCTATGAGAGTCTGAACTTTCACAAATCCTGCACATCTGTCCTGGCAGAATTTAGCTCTACAGATGTAGAATCAGCACCAGAGTATGATTTCACTTCAGCACTTACAGCTATATACAAAGGGCTCAAACCTGTGAGATAGAGCTGGCACAGACAATGACTAGCGTATCATATGGGAAGAACTAGGCTGCCTTGGGTTTAGAAGCAACAAAATAGTTGTAAAAAGCAAAACAAAAGCCCTAAAAATGCCAGGATGATGATCTAGTGACTATTAAATGTTCCTGCAACAAAACACAGCACTTCTTGGATGCAAAGGAAGCCTGAACTCTGAACGTGTGCTGCTTGCCACAAGAATAACATGAATCAACACATAGCAAAGTTTAAAATAATGAAAAAAAACCAGTGGCAATCCTAGGATCTTTGCAGAAAAGATTTTTTTAATCCCATTATATAAGGCACTGGTGAGTCTTCACCTATAGTGGATAGTTCCTCTCAGCTACGCTCAGGAAAGATTAACTCCAGCAGAAACAGGTGCATGGAAGAGCTGTTCATTTGGAAGAAAATTCTATCTTGTTATCTGAAAGAACTTAGTTGGTTAAGCCTAGCAAAATGAAGGCCATGGAGAAGAATGACCCTTGGTAAACATGATGAGGCTAAAAATCAACGTTTAAACCATCAGACAAAATCACAAAAAGAAACATATAGAAACTTGCCAAGGACTTTGTAAGGACCAGAAGGGGGAGACTGCGGAACAACCTTCCCACAAAATCAGTGACAAGTCCCTAAATAAACTAGTCTGTTCTCTGTTCTTGCACTGCAGCCCATAACATACCTTGGAAATGCTAAACTATGATCTGAAGTGCATCACTCCAGAACGAGAAGTTAGAATAAAAAGTAGAATGCAATTTTGTGCAGAAACATGGGACCAGAGTAGCATCTTCCCCCCATCATGTTCTACAGCACACAGCACAACGTCAAGGCAAATAAGCAGAGTTCTTCAAACTCTGATTCTGGCCCAAAAGGTTGCGTCTCTTAAGGTCCCATTTCTGCACCTGAGTCCACTCCAACAGACAAAATGTTTCAGCTTACCTGCTTGTCCAGGAATTCCCTGGTGTCTTTCTCAATGTGTCCCTCATAGAGATTAGTTGTAAGACTCATTAAACCGATTTTAGACAGTCCAAAGTCAGTTAGTTTAATGTGACCCATGGAAGTTATCAGAAGACTGGAAGAAAGAAGAACAGCAAAATAATCTAATACTTTTTTCCCAAAAGGAGTTAAAACAGAAAAAAAATCACAAGATAATGCTAAGCATAGCCTCAGCATAGACAGGTACCTTGAAGGAATCTCCTATGCCACTGAGTATCACAATGAAGCTGCTTAGACAACCACAAATGAGACTATCTTCTGGCAAATTTCACCACAGTAACAACAGGTTTGAGATGATAGGTGAACAAAACACTACTGTTTACTCTCATTTTTCTGCTGTAAAGTATAAATGAGGACAGCAAGTAGAGCACATAGCACTATACATTTCCAATTCTGCACTGAGAGTTTCAACAGCACAGGGAAGAGAGCAGAAAGGACCCATTATAACCATGATCAACAGTTCTCAAAACCTTTATAGACCTTGTTTCCTGTTTTTCCAAAATGGTATGTGCATCCCATTGCTCTTACACTTGCACAGTTTCAAGGGGACCCTCAGACTACAGACAGTATTTTACAATACTGCCCCAAAATTCTTAATCTCCAATACCAACAGAGCTAGACCTGGTGAATTCCAGCCTAACTCCTATCCAAATTCTGTTCCTAGGCCTCAAAGACATTTCTCTGATTCTTTCTCACTGCCAAACCGGTTCTGTACATCAGGAGCCAGAGACTCCCTAAATCCTTCTATATTACTGGTCCCATCAAAACTTTCTTCTACTGTCTGTAGCTCCCATGTCCTCTTTCTTACAGAGAAAACCTCTGATCAACTGGGTTTCTCCACCCTCTTCTGAAGAGCTGAACACTTACTTGTCAGGTTTTAGGTCACGGTGAACGATTCCATAATTGTGTAGGTACTCCAACGCCAAAACAGTCTCAGCAAAATACATCCTGGCCATATCAACAGGTAGGGCACCGATGTTCTTCAGAAGTGTAGCACAGTCACCTCCTAGAATAAAGTTGCAAATATGACACAGTGAAAAGAGAAGTATCAGTAAGAAGCAAAAGCAATGACAGCACTACAATATTGGAAGAGAGTAAGCTTCCTAAAGGCTGTCTTTCTTAAATCTATTGACTGGGTTTCTAAAACTATCTCAGTTTTGAATCTCAAACAAATTTTAAAATCTTAAAAAAACTGAGTTCCATAGACACTGGGCATGCTTGCACTCCTCTAGAAAGGCACACCACAGTATATTCCACACAGCAACAGGCACTGAAGTGCTGTTGAAATACAAAATGTAATTCAAGAGCAGATGGGCCTTGATCTCCAATTCCTGGGGTCTCATCTTCATCTGTAGCAAAAAACAGATAGGCCCCTGATTCAACTTTTGAAGGAACAGTGGCCACACATTTCTCTCTACAGCCTTCATCTCAGAAGCGATCAGCCAAGCAAGCCAGGTATACGAAATTAATCCTATCCATCAATGGAAATATATTCCTTACAATAAGATAAAGAGATAAAATCAAAGACAGTAAACAAGAAAAGGAAGAAAGACCACAACATAAAACACTATTTTTGAAAAAGCTTAGAAAGAACAAAGACTGTTTTGCTTGGTTGATGTTTCTTAACTTTCTTTTTCTAACCTTAATGCCAAGCATAGACAGCAGGCCATGGCCTCCTGCAAGAGAACCAAAGGATCTCTTTTCAGTGAAGACTGGAAAGTTCATGCTGACTTCTCACCCTAGCAACCTCTCTATATGTGGCTTTATGTTTCCTAAGCTCTGCTACAAACACATCGCATTAGTCACAGGGGTTTGCAAATGGAGTATCTCCTTACACAAAATCATGCTAGCAGGGTAGAATGACTCATTTCTCCAGCTCAGCCCAAGCAGTCCACACACGTCCTCCCTACATAAGTTTCATAATCTCCCTGCACCCGGGTGGAGGGACACAGCGCTGGCTCTGCTTACCTTACACCAAAAAGCAGCATCACACACACAAGACATTCCTCCTCATTACTTCCAGAGCACTGCTCTAATCAATGTTACACCCAAAAGTAGATATTTTATAAATCATGACGAAATGGCATTTTATATGATGGGAGACACTGTGTATACACTACATGCACATCCTATCTAAGGTCCCTTTGCAAGATTCAGTTATAACAAACATGCCGTCATTCAATAGTACCTTCCACGTACTCCATAACCATGCACAGATGGCGCTTGGTCTCGAAGGAGCAGAACATGCTGACTACAAAGGGGTTCTCAGCAAAAGTCAGGATATCTCTCTCCACAAAAGCCTGTTGGATCTGGTTTCTCAAAATTAGGTTCTGCTTGTTGATCTTCTTCATTGCAAAACGTTGCCGGGTGGTCTTGTGTCGTACCAAATACACCGCTCTAGAAAACCACACACCAAGAGCAAAGGATCATTTTCAGCTCATGCTATTTTAAAGAAATAGTGGACAGTAACTGTTTTGGATGGATTCTGACAAACTTATTTATGAGTCCATAAAATCCCTTCTTAATGCCAAACTCCCTCAGAAAGAAGCAATCCCATGATGATTTTCTTCCAAAAGCTACTCTGATCAGACCTCTTTGAATTAAGTAGCATTTGCATTGATGAGACTAACAAATGTCACAATTTTCCTTATGCATTAATACAAAGGTATTTATTTTTCAACATTATAGTCACCATTTTACTAAAACATTGTCCAAAATGCAAGGAACCAGCACAATTTATTTCCAGTTCCATAACATGGATTTGATGTAACACTGTCACCAGGGACTTCAATACAGCAAAGTATTTCTTACATTTCTATCATTTGCAGATCATTAGATTCCCGCATGTTAATAATATAGTTTGCAAATAAATTTTCCATCCAATTTGCCTGCCGTATTGAATCAATACTTGCTTCTTTTTCTCTGGAGTGTATTACATTTAACATGGTACTCGATCTCAGAAACAGATGACTATGAATTACAGCCAGTAAAAAGGCAGGATATGAATTACAGCAAAACCTCCACCCCTTCCATTTTTACAGAGGTATGTTTAAATTCATGAGGTCTATGCAGAAATATGACTGAAAGCATATAAACTCTTGTGTCCAGCAATATGGTTCTTCATGTGTTTTCACAGACTAAAAAAATATACTTAAACTCTTTCACATAATTTTTAAGAAATAAGTTGCTGTTAAATGAATGTCCACTTTAACAAAACACTTGAGTACATCCTCAAATTTTGCTGTTACAGCCTACTGAGTTTTGTTGCTTTTCAGTTATGGTCTACAAAATATCACTGATAAGAATTTATAAACTGCAAAGAGTCAGGATCTGTCTTTAATATTCTGGGTAGGTTTGTAGGAACAGTTAAAATTTTAACTTAGAAACTCCATTTTGGATTCATCAACAGGTAAATAAAATCTAATAGTACTTTTATTACATGACTTCTGAAGAAGATCTGCCACCATCTAATTTTAGCATTTATTTCAGTATTTCAAAGCTCACAGATATGTACCTTACATATATAATCTCAATACATGGAAAATCGTAACTTCTTTCAACATTTTTGTTGTTTAAATGAGTAGCCAATAGCATTTGCAACTTGAGAATTTCATCTTCGCTCATTTAACGTCTACACAAACACACATCGCAGGACTTAACTATGTATCATGAAAGGAAACAGAGAATGCCCTAAAGCAATAAAAACGGGGTGAAAAATAATTTTCTCAATTTTCTACAGCTACATTTTTCTCTAAGAAATTTCCCAATTGGCTGTCTGACACTACTTCTCTTGTTGACAACATTCGGGTAAAACATTTTTGACATCTCAGGCCAATGTTGCAGCAATAGATACAGAAAAAAGGTTTGAGGCCACAGCTAGGAAGGAGTTCAGCAGCTGTTCTGAGCGCTTTAATGCAGGGCAACCACTTTTAACAGAGGGTCACTGAGCTGAAGCTGTAAGTCGGCTCAACACAGCATGAGGCCTTCACAGCTGGTGATCACAGCAATGGTACTGCCTAAAAACCCAGAGAAGGTTAAAAAAATAGCATCTCCCGCAAGATATCATGAGTTTTGAACTTTCCTAAGGCCTAAGCACTATTCATTTTGATCTGGATCCAACAGCGAACAGTCATTTGCCTAACTTTGGAATAACCCTTCACTGCATACGATGATAATAGCATTTTCTTCTGAAGTAGACTATAAAAAGCGTTACCCATAAGCTCCATTACTGATCAGTTTAATATTTTCAAATTCTTCCTCAGATGGAGTTTTCTTTGATTGCACAGAGGCACCACGGCTCTGGGGAAGGAAACAAAAAAACAAACATAAACTAAGGAGCTGGAATGGCTTCACACTCTACACAACTTTTTTTGTTCTTTTCTTTTTTTTTAAGCAGAATTCATCCAAACACAACTCAATCCTATATCTCTAGAGTGCTCAGTTTTAGGATAACAATCTGTATCCTTAGGAGCCTTGCAGATTCCCTTCACAAATATTAGCACAATAAGTCACTAGACTATAAAATTCAGGCTTTTCCTCAGCATTATGTTTTTTAAATTAACTAAAAATACTAAGGATCTTTGAAAGCTGGTGAGTTATATAACAAAGCTTTTCGAACAGTCCATTGCTGAAGTCAACTTCCCTCAATTCCCAAAATGTTTCGCATACGCTATATAAAGAATCTTTTTTAGTTGAAATTAATGGAAAATTATTTTTGTTTGCAACTGTAAAGAAACATCAACAAAACTTAATGATAATGACTGCATCTTAAAAAGCATTTCAGCTCCACAGTATAGTCCAGTTTGATGAGTCTGTGCTTCAGTTTTAACATGTACTTTATATGTCAGTTCTTTTTTAATTAAAATTACTCTGCATTATAATTAATTCTTTACTGTAGACTACTCCTTTTCAGAGAAAAAAAGTGCTAGACAGTGTGCATGTATTACTACTTTACCTCAACTGAATCATCTGTCTCAGGAGTGTCTGGGCTGTCATAGCTATTCAGCTGGGCCATTTCTGAAAAGAAAGCAGAAAGATTACTCCTAATAATCTCAATCAAACTGTTCTCTTCATTTATACATGACAAACAGTATTTTAAGAGGTGCTTGTAGATTATGAAATGCATTTTTCCCCTCTGTAAAAAGTCACTCCAATTATACAGTGATAACCTTTCACATCTTGTGAGCTGCAGGCATTATTTTATATAGAGATGAATATAATTAACGGGTTTCTTCTCAGCATGAATTATTCTACATGGTTTCTTTAATAAGTAAAAGCAATAAATGCAATTTTGGGAAACTGTCAGATACTTAATGGTAAAGTCTATTGCATGCAACCAGGTCTGTATATAGCCTGGGAGCTTCCACGTACCTCAGAAAAAAAAAAGCACTACATTTCAAACAACATCTCTCCATGAAATGTGTGCAGTTCTGCAAAATGCAGAGCAGCAAACTGTGAGAAAGACCATTAGTTTAGGCTACTCAGCTGTCTTAGGAGACACTATAAACTTTGCAGAACCAAATCCTACATTAACTACTAGTCTCTGAACAGACATCATTGACATTTCTGGGTGCCCTCCTTACAGAAAGGAAATAAGGCACCTTGACATCTCCACACATTTCTAAAGAAATTTGACTTTAGTAAGGGGAATTAGTGATAGAAAGGTTCTCTCCCATGACAGGGATCAAAGGAAAATTCCCTTTAATGTCAGATTTCAACAAATGCTATTAAATTGCATTTAGCAATCTTCGGTAGAAATTTTCCTGAAGAGCTCTTTACTTGAAGTCAACCTGTCACTGTCATTCTAGTAAACACTGCAAAAGTTAAACTAGTCCTATCCAGAGTACTAATTTATGGTAAATTATGCCCTCCCGAGAAAACAAAAAGTACAGATCAACTGCTGAAATATTCCACAGTCACCTGCACTCTCTTCTGCGCTTCCTATTGCTGCTGAGCAAGCCCTGCCTGGGGCCAGAGTTTGTGCTCATAAAACTTGTCAGAGGGGAAGGGAATCAATGAGTAAAACGCAAGGAGAACTATTAATTCACAGCTTCCAAAGTTGAGATCTTCTGGGACTCTGTACATCTACAGCAGATTCATTTTACCATATGCAATGCTGGGACTTAGCAGAAAAGCTGTCAGATTTTTCTAAGACGTTACATGTACAGTGCCTGGAAAAGCACTGTCATTTCACAGACCTTTTCTAAATCCAAAGTAATGGCTAGAAGGTAAATTTTTATGACCTTTCTTTAAAATGTATCAAATGTTTAAGTGTAATACCCAACATGTCTAAAAACTGTAAAACTTAAAATACCATCAGCACAAAAATAGTATTGCTCTGAACAATTAACATCTAGGTTAATTATTATAAATTGTTTGGTTAAATATCTTTTGGGACAAGAAATACAAGTTTTTGTATCCAAGTGAACTCCTAACTGAGTTCATGAATACCGTTTGTCCACTCTAGAAAACCATTCATGTATGTGTTTGCATATCCCACAGTAAGTCACAACAAATGCACTTTTCCCAGAAAGAACACATGGGATCACTGAATCCTTTCCAACCAGTGCAGGACAGCTCGCAGCTTGCAGGCAGTGGCTGATCAGAAATAAAACAGATAAATTTAGCTTTACAGCTAAATTTACCTCCCATCACTACAGAAATATAGTTATCATGTAAAGTCATTTACTAAGAATTTTTCAGCTACAGTATAGGGAGAGATTACTAATCCCTCAAATAAAGAATTGTAACTGCTGATGTGTGATGCTAGCAACCCTCCTTTGAGACATATAGTTGGAAAGGATGGTTTAGAATTGGTCAGCAAACGGGAAAATAACGTGGGGGAAGGAAGTGAAGAGAAAGGCAGCAAAACCTGTATACGATAAAATGAAAGCCCCTTTTGTTTATGTAGTGACCAGCGGTCACTTAGTATCTGGAGATCTGATTATCCCTTTAGTAGTTTAGAGAGCATAAAAAGAAGAGTTCTCACCCTCCAGGGGATCCCTGGTAAGTCCCAGCTGGCTGATAATGTAGCGAGGAATGTCGCATTTAATTCCTTGCCCTTCCTTGGCATGGCCTTCTGCAGCTTCCAACAAGTGGTAAAACTCTTCAGGATCAAACTCCTAGAGCCACGACAGGGAGAGAGGCAGAGAGATGCAAATGATTCGGTCCCACAGTTACAAAAGGATCCTCTCCCATAGCACTGAGAAAGAGTATGGGTTGAGTCACTTGGATTCCTCAGAAATAGCCCAGGTCGATTGTGGGCTCAGCAGAGGGGCAAAACATTGCAGTTACAAAAAGCAAACCAGTGCATTAATCTGCTTGGGAAAAGCAAAGCTCTGTTTCACACATTTATACGGACTGATGGGTGTCTGCTGGCTGCCAATCAAACATTGCAAGGATTGTAGGGACTTTTCATAAACCAAAACTACCAGGTCAATGCAGTCCCAAACACAAGAATTTCCTGGAACCCACCTGCTACTTTTGTCACTCTTGGGAGACAGCGAAAGGTCTGTGGTGAGGACTAAGTTCTGCCACCCTTGTCTGACAGCTTAGTGAAGCAAAGATGAAGCTCTCCTGATTTCAAACATCAGCTCTGATCAAATCTTAGACCTTCCCATCCAATTCTGTCCCAGTTACGGCAATTGCTAATAAAATAGCAAATTTCTTGGTTGTGCTACTTGGCTCGTACAGCCAAAGACAGCAGTGATTCAAAACACAGTGTTCCCCTCTCACTTGTCCGGAAGACAATTTGCTAACTACCTCAGTAAGAACCCAGAGCAAGAACCATACTGAAAAGTACCTTGGAACAATTGTAGGACATTTATTGGTAGGCAAAGGACAGTAGAAAAAAAAAAGTTAAAAAAAATAAAGCATATTAAAAAAATAGTAAGTTAAATAAATATATTTTATGCTTTCCTTTTGGTAGGATTATTTAATTCTCTGAATACAATTGCACCCGAATGAAAAACAATAGTTCTATAAAGGGACTAAGAGTCCTACGGAAAAGGAACCTGAGAAAAGAATAAACTACATACTTTCACAATCTAATAAGAAAACAATGAAGTTAAAGGTTAAATTACGAAAAATACACATTACAAAATGAAAATGAAACACAATTCCCAGGCTATTTAAGGAGTAGACTATCTATTGCTACAGATCTTGCTCCTTTAAGGGAGCAAAACTTAAGTTCATAGTTAAGTCTTCATGTCAGCAAAACAAAATCAACCAATAAATACCAAAAAAGAGAAAAATGGTAGAAAGATATTAAAGCTTAAAAAGAATAAATAATATACAGATCCACACATGACTTTCAGACTTTGGGATCCAGCCACTTAACTTTCAAGGTTGTCACTACATGACTTGAAGCTCATTCCTAAAATCTCAATGACTTTTCTGCTTCTACCTGCTCCCACACACTCTGCAGAACGGCAGGTGCAGGAGACAGTGCAGGAACCCAGGGGTCTCCTGATCTGCAGCTAAGAGGTGGTTCAAGTGTGGAACTGTTTCCAACTATAGAGACAGGTTCACAAAATCTGCCAAAGTTTTGTGCCTTCCTAGATGATACGCTACTAACAGAGTGTGCTCAAGCCTAAAGATCAACCATAAGCACAGCAAATACCGTAAGTTTTAATTCATTTGCTTTCTTTATTGTCTTCATTCCCTCCCCCCAAAAATTTAAAGACATCTTTGAAGTTAATTGAAATCACAAAACTCATCCAAATCATAAAAAGGGCTTTCAAAGCCAAAGAATTCCCAATACGGATGAAGTTGTGTCCAGGCTTTTCAGTGTAATCTCGTGAAAACCTCTTGCATAGGTAAGTGTAGGCATCTGTCTTATTAGATGGATGGCCTACTTCCTCGCTGGAAGTAGTCTTCCTTGCACCAAATGGTTCACACAGTCCACCTGAGGTTGTAGGTGCTTTCTAAAATTAATGTCATTGGAAAGGTTGGACCATTCTCACCTACTTTATCAAGGAAAACTGCAAAATTCATTTATCTTCTCATGAATCTAGTCATTCAAAAGTCACCCTCGATATGCTAGCTTCAACATGCTTCAGTTGTTTGACCACATCTGTATTAATACCCAACCACGATTTGCTAGCTTAGACAACTTCTTAGTGCCTCAATCAGATGCACCTTCCCTCTCATTTTTATGTTAACAGAGGACCATCAGGTCATGGGCTTGGACCGGTCAAATAACACCAGCTAGGGAATTTCATCTGGTTATTCCTAAAATGTCATGTGCAACAACGCCTAGTTTCCAAAAAGCCATTCAGTTTAGATGTAAGGATTTACAAGAGAAAAAAATGGCTACTTCAGGGAAGCGATTTGCTATTACTATCAAAAATATGAATAGATCTATTTTCCATCCTTATGTCTCTGTTACTTGGATATATTTACAAAGCACAAGTAAATTTATCTTCACCCTCCTTCTGATAATGATAAATAGATCAAGTGTCTTAAAATTCTACTGTAAGCTGCTGGCATCTCCCATAAACATTTTTACTGCCTGCGCTCTCCAATCTTTCAACATCATTTTTAAATGCAGTCCCAGAAATTACCACCATAGTCAATTTCTGCAGAACATTGTATATAACACAGATATAATCACCTCTTTCCTTTTTTTTATCCAAACATACTAACCCTCTTGCCACCGCTTCACAGCTGGAATGCATATTAATGTTGCTTGTCTACTATATCTGACAAAAATAATTTCAGAGTTGCAAGTTTTTGGCATGCAGTGTCCTGTCCTTTTACCATTTTCAAGAACTAAATAAAGATATCTTCTTATTAGCCCAAAATTGTTGAAATGCATGATGAGACCCCTCTTCCTTCATTTAATTTGATTTTAGAACTTATACTAGAACGCTATTAGCTGTTGCAGCTGGCACCCTGTTAAAAAGATACTTCTATATTACTGTAAAAACTCCCTTTTTCTAAATGCTGGTTTATTTTTCATCAGTGGTTTCATCACAATGTAAGCTTTCCCTCAAGGCTATATGTTCCTTATCTCCTCAAACACACATCACATCGTGCCCTGGAGATCACGCTTACGCTCTCCCAAAGACTGAACTTACCAGGCACTCAAGCAGCCGAGCTGGTCGCGCAATGATAATCATCAGCTTCTTCACAAGTTGGGTAACGAAAGCAACCTCCGAGCTCTCGGACCGCTCGTGGGCCTGCAGAAAGCAACACAGCAGGTTATGGTCCCAGACAGTGAACTCCTCCTTCCTACCCATCAAATGCTGAATATGGAGCAATCGTCCCCTCCGTGCCCGTAATTCAGCGGCGAAGGCACGACCGAGGCCAGCCAGGCAATGAGCTCAGCTCGCTCAAGGATGCCAAGTTGCATATAGCTTTTCCATTACATCTGACTGCCTTTATCGAGTAAGACATATTCCAAAGGCTCTATTTGCATTATGTTGCTTATCAGTTTTATTAGATCTTTTTTAAATTGTAATTTAAAAGATTAAAATAGGAATACTGCTTTTTATATATATTCAACATTCCCATGATGCTGAAGTCTAGACAATTATCAACATCTACACACGTTTTGTAGCTTTACATTCAGATAGGATATGAACAACGTATGTTCAACATCTTGAAAAGACTGCCTTTTAATTTCTCTCCATTTCATTCCATAAATCCTGCCAAACAACCACTGCATTGTATGCTGTGTTCTACCAAACACACAACCAAATCCATAGTATACAAAAGCGTAATTCAGAGAATTTATTCTTGCCCATTTCTATTCTTTCACATTATTGGATTTCAGTAAAACTCAAGGCTTAGTTTCAAGGTGTACATGTGGCTGGCAAAGAGGCTTTTCTAGTACAATAAATACATTAAAAACTACTAATTAAAAATATAAATTTGAAAAACTAAAAAAAAAAGTTTTTTTTTCTTTTTTTTTTTTCCTCAGAGACACAACATGCACACTATGAGCCCTAAAGCACATGTATTGCATTGCAGGCTGATAAAAGATGGTTACAGTAACATGAAAAACTGAAGCAAACTACAGTCAATTTTCAGAACAGTCTAAAAACACGGCTTTAGCACTGTCACAGATGTAAAGTCCTAAACCAGCTCGATGACGAGCTTCACCACCAAGCTTTCCAGTTCCTTGCAGGAATGATAATTTAACCAAGAAGAATGCAAGCAGCAGGAAACAAAAAGGTTCACTTAGCATTGTTCATTAGCAACAGAAAGACATATATGTCTGAGAAGTTGAAACACTGATAGTCAGCTCAGTGAGCAATAAAAACACAAGGAAGCACAAATCCTGAGCTAGAAAACCGTAAGCGACATTTTTAAAATTACTTCTCTGATTTTTAACTAAATAAGAGAAAAAAAACAGTTAATTACTTCTTATTCTAACGTAGGTCCAAATAAGAAATTTGTTAGTTGTGCAATTCAGCATTGACGTGCTACAGCCAGACTTAACCTTGAAAATAATTGTATAACTGCTATTCTAAAAACAATATCAGAGATGCTTCCTGGTTTTAATCATATAAAGAATTTTATTTAGAAAGCATTGAAATAACAAGCTGAGATTTTTGATTATGTAAAAGACATTTTCTAATTAGAAAAAAACAAAACAAAACCAAAAGCAGAAGATTAAAATGAAGACAAGTATTCACTGCCAATAAATTACTCAAACTTATAAATTAAAAAAAAAAGAAATTAATGATTCCATATTTGAACCGCCATCCTAGATCACCAAAGGTTAGGTGAGCTGGAATGAATAAATTACATATTAATATTCAAATATGAGCACACAACTGAAAAGCCCTTTTTTACTCTCCCAGATAAGTTATATTATGCAAAAAATACTAATTCATCTTTCTATTTCTAAGTGTCAAAGCCTACTTATTCTTTTAAATCAAATCCTTTTGTTTTCTCCCCTTCTCCTTTAGGCAAAGCAATGCGAAAATGGGACAGATTTAATCAGGTGCCTATCTGAAAAAATGAGAAGCTAACCCGATTTCAAAACGATATAGAGAAGCAAAAGAAGGGGGGCAAAAAAAAATGAAGCAGAGGGTTGGAAAATGCAAACACAACTTGTAAGAGCCACTCAGCCATCATCTCCGCACAGCGCTGCAGCCCCAGGAGCTCCAGGAGGGCGGCCTCGTCCCGCCGCGCTCTCCCGCAGGACATATCTGAAAAAATGAGAAGCTAACCCGATTTCAAAACGATATAGAGAAGCAAAAGAAGGGGGGCAAAAAAAAATGAAGCAGAGGGTTGGAAAATGCAAACACAACTTGTAAGAGCCACTCAGCCATCATCTCCGCACAGCGCTGCAGCCCCAGGAGCTCCAGGAGGGCGGCCTCGTCCCGCCGCGCTCTCCCGCAGGACAGCCCGGACATCTCCGCTGGCCGCGTCCTGAAATCCCGGGGTTGTGTAGCCACGTGGGATGCTCCCGGCCGCTGCTCCCGGGCCCGCCCCCGGCGCGAGGGCCCCGCTGCCTTCCCGGCCCTCGCGGCCGCCCAGGTAGACGGGAGGCGGAGGAGGGTGATTTACCAGCCGAGTCCCCCGTGTGAAAGCGCCATCCGTCACCAAGTGTGGCTGCTGGGGCATGAAATTAAAATCACTGTCCTCCCCTGGGGTTCAGCGGGGCCGCTACCGGGGATATGCAAGTCACAGCGCCGCAATTGAGCTAATATAGCGATGGAAACCAAAACACGGGAAGCGCGAGGCCAAGCTCCAATAAATTCACACTCAGGCTCTTGTTAGGAAAGCAATTGCAATCAGAATATCAATTTTCCGAAGTCAGTAGCAGTCAGCATAGTGTGCTACCATCACCTTCCCTTTTGTTCTGTGTACAGAAACACCTGTAATCCTTCACTCCCCTACCTGCAGAGAACCTGTGTCGACGCCATTACATCTTTTTTGACTAGATATTGCTCATTTTTGTCACTCAGCCAATTCAATCAGGTATTCATAAGTATTCACTAAATTCAACCAAGCAGCCATCGGTCTATACAAGTTCATGTTTTCAGGAATCTTAGCTCCTATCCCATCCCCTGGTCCTTCCCCCACAGTAAAATATAAAGAATCGACTGTCATATATGCCATATAGAAGTACTTTATCTTATTTTTCAATGTTTGTACTTTAAATGTAAAGCGCAACATTCAAGTCCATGTTTTTCAAAATGAATAAAATCTATTAAATTCATTTGTGCTTCAGAATCATTTAAATGATGCAATAAGCAATAGGTTTTTCTAGCGAAAAGACAATACTTCATGCTCACAAGCAAGAGAAATGATCTCATTTGCCATAACTAATGAGGTTTCTTGGTATTTAAAAACTTTAGAAAGCTTTCTGGTTGGGCATATTTAAAGAGTTTGTTATTTACATAACCAATTACTCTGTTTTATGGAGACATTTTCACAACATAAAGTAGCTTTAATTTGCAACACATTAATTTGAGTTTTCTTTCTATGGTTTGGAATGGCTGCACGAGTGTAGCTTGTTATCAAATGCTAGAATTAACTTATTAAAGAATGGAATTTCAGTAGAGTCGGTTCTTACAGAGGACAGCTATATGAACATCTGCATATGCTTCCCTTCTTGACAGTTACTGCTGTGCTGCCAGTCATTTCCTTTTTCACCAGAAAATCACCTGCCCAATCCTTCTGCATCTTATAAAAAAAACCTTCTTGTGATGGAGGTTAGTTCCCCAGAAGCTGTATCATTGCCAATTTCTACCTGTTTAATCTGAAATGCTCCATTGTTTTCTTTTAAAATGCAGCATAAAGGGGAAACACAATTGGCAAGCAGGGAAAAAAAAAGGAGTCTTTAAATACTACAATAGAAAAGTCAAAGAACTAGGAAAGAAAAAACAAATGAGAAAGATGTGGAAAGAAGTCTTTGCCATTCCTACATTGTCTTTAATTTTTTTGTCCTCATCCTTCCCACCCCAGCTCTATCTCCTTTATAGTTGTCCAGTTCACCTTACTTCCTTGAGAAAAATCAATTAAAATTAAGGATTGGCCCCTCTCCTACCCCAACCCTCAGGAGGTGTTAAGGAAGGAGCAAGGTAGCTCCTGAATGTCAATTACTGAGCAACCACAGGATAATCATTGCACCTTATCTAGATGAAGCTCAAAGTCATCTTTCCCCATGATAAGTATAATGAATGCAAGAGGAAAGAGAAAAGGACATATAAGCGGATGTATTTTAGCCTTTTTTTGCTGTTTTTGTTGGGTTTCTTTGAGGAAAGGGTCAAAAGGAAATGGTGTTCTTTTTTTTTTAAACTAAAACGTCATTGCTCTACTCCTTTTGTCTATCCAAAACTCTGCAGACTACTGAAATGCATCCACAGTGGTTACTGATATGTCATAGGCAGACAACTATAAAAGCCCTCCAAAGATATTTCGTACCTCATTACAGCCCTCATCCAGGGAGAACATGACAAAAATAAACATGAGACATTTTTTCTGATACTTGTTATGCGTTACAGAAATGTACACCAGACTCATACAAATGGAGTAGAGTCTAAGATTTTAGCTGATACAAGGGGAGTCGTGGATGTTTTGCAAAACTTTTAAGTATAACAGTAATACATTAATATTTATACTCACTTGCCATTTTCTAATGGCTGGATGGAAGGGCAAACGTGTACAAACTAATGCAATTCACACCATTTGGTTGACAATTGATGATGTATAAACACATAGCTTAAAAATAGATTAAAAACCACCAAGGAGCATTTCACGTGCTCTATTTCTAAGTCTCTCACTGACATTTGTGATCTGAGACCATACTCTTTAAAAACACTGTATTTTGAGCTTCAGTCAAAGCCAAAGATTAGGACATGTTCCTAAACCGAGGTCAGGCCCCAGCAACAAGGAGGACTCTCCACTGACTCTTCACAACAGCTACAACATATTCCAGACACACCAGACCCTACTTCCAGTTAAACTGGTTCTCAAACTGCACTGACTTACTGCACAGTAAAGCTGGCATTAAGGAACACTAAATTCTAATGGATTTTTTGATTTTAATATTATTTTGGCTTTAGAGGCAAAGAGTGATTTTTAATGAGCAGTTGAAGCATTGAACATGCATTAAAGTTGTGCCCTCTTGTGTATTTTCATATGCTTTGAACATCACAAAATACATCGAAGCACTGAAAAAAACCCACAACTGAATTAAGTTCAGCTCAAGAAAATCTTTTATGAAAAATTTATAGCAACACTACAAACCATGGTGTTTTCACTCCTCGAAGGCACTATTGTAATTAATAAGTCATCCAGAGTCTTGAAGCACATGAAAGAAATTTCAGTAATTTCCTTCATCTGAATGAGCCCAATTTTCCTAAGTGGAAAAGACTGCCTTTGAGTTACTCATATGCATATTCCACTTTTGTACAAACAAAGTACACAGGTGAAGTGACTTGCTCAAATCCGCCCATGGTAGGATGCTGCTTCCAAGAGCAGACAGCAACAGCTCAGGTCTCTCGACACCACCACCCACTGCCCTCCCCATGGAGTCTGTGCCGCCCCTCCTAAAATCAAAGCTCCAGCTTATTGTTTAGAATTTCAATCAAAATAATATATTCTACTTTCTAGGGAGCACTTACATCCTGGAGAAGTTTCTCCAAGTTTTCCTGCAGCTCATAAAAGTATCGAGAAGTAATAAGACCTTCACGTGATTTGTCTAGGCAGTCTCTGGCCAGTTCAATAACTTGGTGATGAATGAAACTTAGGACCCCATCTGCTAATTGCAGCACGTTCTCAGGAGCATTAGAGGCAATGAACTCAGCCAGCCGTTCCTCCATCTGCGCCGTGGCCTAAGAGGAAGGAATAAACAGGTTGCTTTTGAGGTATTACTGTCCCAGAAACTACTTGGTAAAACACATAGGAATGGCAGGTACTCTGGCCTCTAGAATATACACTCTTCAAAGCTTGAGTCTACAGATTTCAATACTTAACTTTTCAAAAACCTATTCTCATTGGAAATCAATTCAGGATTGAAACTGTTTACTTCTCTGAAAACCTCAGTCTATCTTCATTATTTCTGTGGTACCGAAAGCGCCAGTAGCAAACCTTGCTTTTGCCAAAAGCCCCCAGCATAATTTGGAATGACTTTAAAAGAGAACTTTGTGTTTCCAATATGAAAACATAAAGTCTACCAAAACCGAGGAACTTTGGATCAGTACAAAGCAAACTTAATGCAATTATACATGGAACATTGGGTGGATGTTATTCAACATATTTTTAAATTACTGTTTGAAATAGCTTTGTAAAGTATATATGAAGCTTATCTTTTAAAAGTTTACATAAAACTAAGCAAATTATCCTTTTTCCAATCTTCATCTGCTTCAAAATTTGAAGCAAAAATCGAGGATTATTACAGAATATACGGAGATCCCCTCCAACAGTAACATTTACACTGGGCAGCCAGAGAATGGCTCTTGTCCTCGATTCTACACACATTTAGCATGCCAATAATGAACGCAAGAAATTTAATAAATATAAAATATAAGCAAAAATACACTAAGCCTTTCACACGCTTCTATCTGAGGCTGTCTACATATTCAATCTATTTTATTCTACTGCAAAATTAACATATGAAGCAGAGAGGACAGCTTCAAGCTCGCAGCAAGCTGCATTGCTTGAAAATAGGAGGTAAGATATGAAATCCTTCCCCCACAGGTATTACAAATTAACTCCGAGTTTTGTCATGAGTTCATGTACTGCACTATTAAAAAAGTGATTCCTTACCTTCGGAAACCTTTCTTTGTACACATGATTCATCATTATTATTTCACCGTCAAAGGAAACTGGGGAGCGACCCGGGCTAGAGAAGAAAAGAAAATACATTATCATTTGACAGCCGTCATATCAGAACTCTCAGAAACCCTGTGCTGGTCACAATGCTGCCAAATTGATAGCAGCCCTTCCAAGGCTTCACTTAAGTAATGGCATATTCTGAACTTCAGAGAAAAACCTAGCAAGAAAAGGCAATTGATACTCTTCCAAAAGTCATAGTTAACTCACTGGAAAACTATTAACACTGCTGTCTTCTTATGAATTCAGGCAAATAACACATCTGTTTTCAGTGAATACAGAACCTACCACACCAACATGTCAAAAATATCATATTTGTTCTTTCACATGTGTTCTCTTACTGCCCTCCACAGTGGTGGCAGGAGATGTGCACAGGAAACACAGTATCACTAGAGTCTGTAGGGCCAGAAAGGAGCAGAGTAAAATGAAACAAGGAATTTGAGGTGTCTTGCTTTTCTTGGTCTGAAAAACAGTACACTACAGTAGGGATTCACTTCATGAATAGTGTTATTCAGCTAAAAATAATATACTGAGGTACCACAAGCAATAGGAACAGAATACCTCCCTGGATTACACCACGGATGCACACGCACAGATGCACATTGAAAAACCAGGCACTAAATCTTGAAAAGCTGCATTTATATTGCTGTGTGGGTAACGCTAAAAGACGACTTGCATCTAATTGCATCACATCTGACGGCCTCTGACTCGCTCCGTCACGGAGGACGGCCTGAGAGGGCAGTGCAGAAAATCCCCAGCGACATCAGCGCTTACGGCATCTCATTTTTATGGTTACATTGTTTTAATATTCCGGACAAGCAAGGGCTTCAATTATGCGGCATACTACATGATTATTGTCTTTACAATCTTAAGAGTACTACGTATTGCTAAAAATATTTTCTCTATGTCAAAATATATAATTTTACCTTGAATCAGTTCAGACATATTTGAAAACTTTCTTGTGAAGGATGAAATGAATCACTTTGAATGGAATAAATATTCTGAACTCTGACTGCATTAAAGCTACTACGTGCTTCTAACCTATTTAAAGGAAAAACATTATCTGAGGAACATGTATTTACGATTCAGAGAAAATTTAACTCACTGGCTCACAGAGGATAGCAATAACCACCTCTTTTCATGCAAGGTGCTGCAATTCCACGGATAATGCTCTGTCCTGTTTTTATTAAGGTTTATCCCTCAGCTTGAGAAAATGCACTTTCGATTACATCTCTTATTGAACTCTTATGTTAAAGGAGAAAATAAGCTGATTTTGATGTTCACTGGTTATGTCAAAATACAATTGCCTTAATACTTTTTGTTGTTGTTAGGAGAATTCACCATTAACAGGGTGAATAGCTATTTTTAATCAAGGAAAAATTTTCTAAAATTTTATATTCATATATATAATTTACATAATCATATATAATGTATGAAAGATAATAAAACAAGGCCAAAAACATTTAAATATAAAGGGCAACTGATGCCATGAAGGAGTTATAGAAAATTAAATATCCCATTCTCTTTCTGTAAAAATATACACACAGACACATGGCATTTGCATTCTGATATTTCTGATGGCTGAAGAATTTGGTAGAGAATTACTGAATAACTTATTTTTCTGTAACAAAACGATTTTCTCGGATGACTTGTGAGACATAAATCACAAGGATATATGAACACTTTGGAACCGACTTCAGAATTACGTAGGCATATGCATCCTTCCTTTTAACACTAAAGTGGCCCTAAAATTACTGCATGCTTAAGTATTTGCTGCCTTCGGGCTATAGTAAAACATGAGCTTTCCCCTCACCACCAGACTCTGTATTCACGTGAACGCAGGAAGCTCAGAGCCCTGCAGAAAAGGGCTGCCTGGGCTGTCCTGCCAGCACAGCCCCTGGTTTCCTAAAAGCAACCACAGTCTTTTCTTTTTCTAGTTCTGAAACAATGTAATTCTCATTTTCTTTGTAGAAAAGTCTACCAATTAGCAAGAAAAAAAACACTTTCAGCTTTCTTGGGCATTGGCTGTTCTTTTAGCTACCTATAATGACAGAGCTTTCGAGCAGCTCGGATAAAACTTGGGATGAAGGATCATGTTGTCATTCTAAATAAAATTATCCCAGTATAATATGTCAAATTAAAAATCTAGCTGACTACGGCAAAATAACATACTGCACCGTAATTTTTTATGCCAAGCTTAAGCCTGGGAAACTACAGAAGAAATTATATGGATAACTGACTAACTGACCAAAGGCTACCTGCCAGGACTACTGGTTATTTTTTGAAAAAAAAGAATCCAGACTGGGTAGATAACAGGATACCACTTAGGGACAACATAAGGGTGTTTAAAATAAGAGAGAAGAAAAAAAAAAGTGTTTTCAATGTATTTTATTGGCATGACAGCTTTCTGAAACGCAAAAGTTTACGGATCTGTATAACACAAATAATTTGACATACAGTGCTAAAACAGCCTAACATTTCAAGCTTCACAAAGGAATGCTTTTCTTTTTTTTTTTTTTTTTCCATAGGACAGGATACATACTGTGCACGGGCATAACCTTTCAAGACAAAAAGCAGGATTCTGCTGTCTCTTTTCTCGATATAAATGGGTAGGTCAAAGACACGATTATTGGCAGTGAGTTTTTCATGTTAGCAGAGCAGACATTAGAAGAAGAAGATCTGTCCCCTTAAGCTTAACAGCAGAATGAAAAACTACTCTCCCTTCCACACTCTCCCTACACTTTATGAAATTTCACAGCAGCAGACCTTCACTGACACATTTTCCTCTCAAAGGATTCTAGATTGCAACTTGTCAAAACTCATGTGTCTTTATCTGATGCTAGAAAGTGAAAAAAGCAAATAGATAGCTCTGTTTCAAGGAGTAACATTTATAATAATAATTAAGTCCTACAAAATCTAGTTTAACCATGCCTAAATAAAACTGGGATGTTCATGAATATGCAATTTTTCTTTCACTGTGGCAATTGCATTTATTAGAAAAATGTAGCTAAAAGCCCTCTTTCTCCTCTCTTTTACCCCCCCGCAGGAAGGTTTCATGAGGATGTATGTACAGCATCTTTCAGAAGTCGTTGTCCACGGGAAAATTTAAACTACAGGCCTTTATCTGCAGTCATTTCAAAGGAGTTTTCACACTCTTCCTCTTCCCCTGAGAATTAAATATAGAAGTCTTTGACCTCAGAAAAACTGCATCCATGACAGGAAAAAAGGAGAAAACTCCCCTTGGAAAAAGAGAAGATAAAGAAGAAGCAAATATGGCCAACCCACATGTGCTGATCAAACTACAGAGCAGACCCATAGGATTCGATCCTGCACAAAGACAAGAGCCATCAGGCCTTGGGGTCTAATCCTCATTAGGACTGGGCATGACAGGGATCAAAAGAGAACTGAGCTGAGTTCTAAATTCTGAATACAAACTATATGCACAGTGCTAGCGAAATACTGCTCCACTGTAAGATTTTTTTTGGGCCCTGCTTTCTCACTGAGCACCTGGAAAAGTCAATTCTGAGTCTGCAATAGTGTGAATCTGCTTACGTAGGTTGTGATCTTGTGTTCATTCTGCAGACACTGAACCCCCAGGTATCTTTACTCTATGGACAAACACTGCCTGCAATTGGCTTTGTATATAAGCTGAATTGTCTTCCATAAGCCTTTGTTCATGCTAGGAATATTCTTACAAATGTGAATGAGGATTTAATATAGAGCTCAGAGATGGAAAGAGAAAATATTTCACTCAAAATGGCTTTGAAAACAAGGACCTCATCAGATTTTTCTAAACACTTACACTGGGACTGCAACTGGCTCTCTTCAATACTACATTTTTTTTTTTTAAATGTGTGCCAACAAAGACTGGGATTGCTTTAGACAGAAAACAAAACAAAGCTAAAGTAATGGCCAGTACAGAGGGCAAGTAATATATATTTCTTCCTCATAATAGAAAACCATGAGGATGTTGAGTGAAATTGAGAGTTATCAAATTTAGAAATGATCATTTTGAAGAATCCTCTTTTAAATCAAGTTCATAGAATTTGCTGTTTTGAGAGAACAAAGAGACCGACATAATCCCCAAAACAGTTAGAATACATGTTTGTAAGATACACCCTTACGCTTCAGAATGTGGAACCGTCTCCCTCCTGAGCTGCCTCAGCAGCTGCCTGAGTCAGCACTCACTCGGAGTACGGGATGCTCCTCCATGGCCTGCAGCAAACATAGGGATGTCTTGAGGCAGGAGTATTAAATGATGAAAAAAAACAAGATTATTTGAGCAGTTAAATCTGAAGCTTAAGTGTACTAAAATGGAAGAGCTCTACAATTTGTAGGACCAAATTTTAAGACAACAGTGGACAAGTGAGCCACTGCATAGTGTCATCCTATTCTTTGTTCCCATCACGGATGCTTAATTGTGAAAAGCTTTTCTTTGGTACTGGTATTCTCTAGGAAATGCCTCTGTATATTCTTAATGGCAAGATCTGGCACATCTGAAGTCAGGTTGCTGAATTGCATTTAACAAGCACTACCCAGCAAAGAGATGAAGCAGCATATCTGATGAAGGAAGATCTCATCCACTTCAGCTACCTAAAAATTCACTGCTACAACCTCCAATCTATTTTCCCTAGACAGCATTACCCCAACAAGCACAGAGAGATCAAGAAAAATGGACGGTTTGGTGGGTAAAGCAAGTGTACAAAGGCAACACTTGATGAAGTCTTTATTGGTTAATCCTGCTTTTATCTCAGAGGTCCTCCACACATTCCCACTTGTTAGCAACTCCTAACGGATGACAAGTGAAGGGAACTGGGACAGGGAGGAGGGCAGCACTGCTCCAACCACCTGAGCAAAGACGCCAACATCATGAATTTACTCTCTTTGCGCATCTTATTCCTGGAAGAAAATATCATTTCCAGGACTGTTCTAAAAGAAGTGAACTAGCTTCTCCCTGTTGGTTTTTGCAACATGATGTTGCAAGAAGAGCAAATGGTTGAGATATGGTCCTTAGGAACTCTCCCTCCAAATACACAAATTTTCTCTTCTACTGAAGATGCACTGGAAGCATGAAAACATATCTGATGGGGTGGATCTCAGAGGGCAAGGCCTCTGTTTAACATGGGAAAAATGGTGCTTTTGGAGATGGATAAAAGTACTGTCTCCTGGCACCAGCAACCAGCTTTATAAACACATCACAGTTTTGGATTCCATAATTGGTATTGGGCCACCTCCTTTCCCCTGGCACAGGAAGGTAGCTGGAAAAAAATCACTACCATGGTGTAGAAAAGGTTTATTTACAAAATTGCTCTTCTGCTTCCCCATTCCTTAGCACTTCTTGTGAAAGATTAGCAAGGGACAAAATCCCATGAAAAAGAAGGAACCTGGCTTTTCTGTGTTCAGTACCTTGCTGTTTCTGTCACAAGGAGAAGAACCATCAGCAAAACATAAAAAGTTAACTTCTTTGTCCCCAAAACAAGGTCATGGATTTTCAAATCTCTCCACAACCTCAGCTTTTTTCAGCACAGAGAGGATGCAGACCCTCAGAGGAAGCGTTTTCTGCCTGCCCACTTCTTACGGAATTGGGCAGCATCTTCAGCCCCACTGGCCAAACACCTCCAGCAACAGGGGAGCCCCAAACACATCAGAGTGTATCAGCCAGCGCTCCACTCTCCATGACTAAACACTTGGTTAATATTTTTATCCACCTTGATCACTTCTGTATGAAGTTCTTTAACATTCATCTGCAGCCAGATACTAGAATATTGTAGGCTGCAACTCAGAGAAGCGGATTTTCCCACAAGAGATCTTGCCACATCTAGGCAATACTCTTCTCTATCTAGGAGCATAAAGGGATGATCTGATACTTGTAAATTCTTAGGTTGCAGAAGCCCTCAAAAACCAGCAAAACTCAGCATGTGGAAGGGACATTTGAAAACACCAATTCTCCTTTCAGAAAGAGACAGCTAACATTGCAGTCAAAGAATGAAAAATGAATACATGTTAGCAATCACGTAAATATCAGATCATCTTTTAAATTACAAAACCATGACTGCCAATTAAGGCAAACATGCCTGATGTATTTTGTTCATCAATTTTTCATTAAAGTTGGTTAAATATGGGACCATTAAATGTTTATGAAAATACTGCATTTTGGGGGAATTCCTGCTTAATTTGCAGCACAACAACTGCTCAGACTTTTTTTTTTTTAATTTTAATTAAGTGGAAACATCTTACCAAGGGAGCTAACTCAATTGTATCAGCAAAAAAATAAGCAAGCTGAGCACTGAGTAAGGTCTGGTCTTCATACTCCAATATTAATCTGCTTTTGAAAACAAGTTATTCTGTCAAAGGGGGTAATTACTTCTGCAAATACTAATAAGTCAACCCAGCCAATTTTTCTTTTTGTGGTGCAAGGGCTAGTACATATCCCTAGTAGTGGTAGAGGTACTTTAGAGCCACTCAGCATCACAGAACTCCAAGCAATAAACAACATACTAAATAAAAATTAGCTAGCCATTTCATCCTAAGTTTTGGAATATTAAAAGGCTGACCACTGCGACCCCGAAAGCTGAACTAGAGAAAGCGCTCAGGAAAGAAAGCTCTATCACAGTCTTACAGCCTACTGAATTCATCTAGTCTTACCAGAAATTCTAAACCTACTGTATGAAAACTCTGCTTTTAAAGTGGCTCACAGAGGTAAAATTCCCAACAAGTTGATAATCCATGTTAATAGGAAAAAACAGAATTAGGATCTTCATTTTACTGTTTACATCACTCTTACATTAGCAATTGTGCTTTATACTTCACTATGCCGCCAGTTACTAGGACTGTGTTAGAAAGGACAATAATTACTTTATGTTGTCTACCTACAGTAGCTGTCATCTATAATGAATTAGTATTACTAAAATTACACTAATCAGCAATAGCCAGTGTTAAGAGCAACAGCAACAGGACTGCAGCAAGACTCATTCAGAGACTTGAACAATGTAGTTCAAATCATGTAACTAATCTCTCACTACATGGCAATTTGTAAAGATCGCAGACTATGTGTGCTACTACCTATAGCACTTACCTGCTCCTGTGGAATACTGTGTAACTACCCTTAGCTGATCCATATGCAATTACCATGCAGCCTGCACTGTGATTTAGAACACACAAATAATTACAAATAATGATGAAAGGTCAGTTCTGTCATGACATAACACTCACCATGCATTTCAGTGCTTAGCTTGAGCTTATTTCACTCGTTTCTATTAAAAACCCCAGCCTAGGTCCTGAATCAGTATTTCCAGCTGGCAGAGTTTCTGGATCTTGTCCAGTGACTTGAATGTGATATCTAGCTCTAATACCCTCTCAAATGAGAGACATAAGGAGGAGATCTCACCTCCTTAGCCCATGAATGTGAAAATTCCTTTTGTTTCATAAAATAGGAGGTGTACATCTCAGACTTGCACTTGCTTGGCACAGCACTAAAAGCATAGGATAACTCAAAGCTTTTATCATGACACAAAAACGTTTGTCTATTTTGTTTCATTTTCTTGAAATAACTAAGGGTTGCAGAGGCATGAAAGAAAGGTGAAGTTCTAGTTGCCTCCTATTTTTATGAATGGAAAAGTAACAGCAGAAGGAAATAACTCCTGATCTTTTAGCAACAAGCTTTCTAAAGCAACAATAAAAATTATTCAACTGCTAATGCAGGAAGATTGTTTTCACCACTATTACAAAATTACTCTTGGGTATTCATGCAATTCTACTCAAGGTTTTGACTTCATATACTCCTCTTTCCATACCCCTTCAGAGGCAGTTCTGGAAAAGTTATTAAAAGTGACTGTAACTATTTCCCTTTACTAATGCAGCAAAATTCCCAGAAGAAACTTCAGGGAATGAAACCCACACCCTGCAGCTTTAGTGTGTGATGCTAATGGATCATTGCATTACAGAGCTATGGTGAAGACATGAAAACAGGCTGTGCTGACCATTTTGCAACTCAGATCCTCAGTGTCATATTTCTTTAAAAAAATCTTTTGTGATTACTCAAGATGGGGTAAATATCGATTAAATAATTCTAAAAACATCAGGAAACAACTACAAATTCTTATCCTTAGAACTGAAAGCACACATAAAAATGCAGTACACCTGTGCAGTAAAAAATGCAACCAGCAGCCCCCGGAGCTCACCTGAGACTGCGAGAGCGAGGCCGCAGGGCTGGCGAGTGGCGCCCTTCCTCATCCGTGATGCTCTCCGTACTGAAATGCTTGGTCAGGAAATGAAGCTCGTCTGCCGTGGGCTGAAAGGGCAGCTGGTGCAGCTTCTCCTGAGATGAGCATGATGACTGAGTACAGAAAAAAATACAGAAAAGAAATGCACTAAACGCATGCATAGGGGTCAGCTAATGAATGGAAGAGGAACGGATTCTGCCAGACACTGCACACTCCAGCGGAAAAGAAAGCTACTTATCAGACCAGGTGCCTCTATTGCTCTCATGAGGCCAAGCCAACCCACACGGACAGTGGAAGAGCTGGTGAGATCGGGACAACTTTGGGAGCAGATGGAGGGACCGCTGCATCTCCTTCTGGAATCACTGCAGCTGACTGGGAGGTGATTTACTACAAGGAGATGGGCAGAAGGCCCATGGGCAGCGGCGCTGCTCCGGACAGGACAAGGAGGTTCCTGGAGTGGTGAGCAACTTTCTTTCCTTTTCCCTCATGCTCCCTCTGCTCAGGATTTCACTGGCATGCAGAATGCTATGGAGCTGGGTAGGCAGGAGAGTTCCTACGATCATCGGCTCTCACTGGCAATCGCTATTGGAAATGGTCTGGATTTCACTTTTCCTCCTCTCTAGTCAGGAAGGCAAAAATAACACGAATGTAGCTGACTTTGCAGAGTTGAGAGTTAAACTGTTTCATCTGTTTAGCTGTTACAAAGAGTTACAAGAGTTTATTCATCTTTAAGTAGGTTGATGCACTTATACAACATGTGTCCTAGGATACCAACAGACATTAAACAGATTTAACACTCGAACCTCAAGAAAACTGAGGTTTAAAAAAAAAAAAAAAAAAAAAAAAAGCTAAGTGGGACATGTGAAAAGGAATTCGAGTTACAAACTGAATATCGGGTCTTCACAGGGAAAAGTTGCAGGTCAACTAGTGAATGCAAGTAATGAATTCTTTGGGTTTTTTTTTTTTTTTTTAATGCCCCTTGCCATCTTACAAAATCAAGGTGATTTATTAGGTCAGCATAAATTAAGAAATCTCTCTCTCTCCTTTTTTTTTATTAGAAAAGAAACAGCAGCACCAAACAATACTACTGGGCCTGAAGAAAAATGCAATTCTAATTTAAGAGCTAAAGCTCCCTGTCAATCCGATTAAATTAATTACATATAATTTTCAAGTGGAAAAACCTATCTTTTTGCTACAACAACCCTTGCCCAAACTGGAAAGCAGAGAGTCCTGGTGCCAGAAGTAACAATACTATGGGATTATATGACCAAACTTTTCTCTCAGCTAGTGTGCATTTCTAGCCTTACTTGCTATCGGTGGCCTTTGAAAAAGAGAGCTAACAAGTAGGGCCAAGCAGGGAAAGCCAAATGCTGGCAAGATGTTCACTGAGTCCTGCATCTTTGTAATGCTAATAGCAAAGAGAACATGGCTTGAAATCTGCTAAACTAGGTGTATCCAAATTTGTCAAGAGAATAACAGCTACACATCTGAACTACAAAAAAATAAGCAGGGCACTGCAAATCCCACTACCTTACACAAACCTTTATCCCTAGAGAATCTTAGCCAAGGTGGAGATGGAGAATTGAACATGAGCGCTTATAAGACTATAGGCCACATCCTTTAACAAAAATATAATTGCCTCCAGAGCTCAGATCCCCTCCTTTTGCACTGCGTGGAGGTATTTTCAGGAAAGGGACCCATTGAAAGTCTTAAAACATGCACAAAATCCCCATCCACGGCTGAACAAGGAGTCGGCACTTGCTGCATCTTCCTTTAGGCAGCTCTAGGTACAGGGACCATGTTGGAAAGTCATCTCCAGCACAGAGTCCCCAGAGTGACGATTATCCAGATGGCAATTCAGTTGACACTGGCCTAATCCACACTGAAGCCAGGACGGAGAATGTGAGGATTTGATAGCCACTTAGCCCACAGCTATTCTGCTGTGCACTCTGCTTATGCCAAATGAAGACTTGCTTTTATATTACAGATTTATGCAAGGCTCTCTGATCACCTGGCTTATACACCAGTGAGAGTGGGAAGAACCACCTGCTTGTGCAAAAACAGCTGCACTTTTCAAGGGGAAGATGTG